CTTGGTAAAAGGCTTAGTGGGGTCTGGATATTTTATTTTATTTTATTTTTTATTTTTTTATTTTTTTATTTTTTTAATTTTTTTTTATTTATAATAACTTTTTTGAGATATAATTTACATACGGTTCACCCATTTGGAGGGTATGGTTGAATGGTTGTTAGCATATTCATAGCTGTGCAACCAGGACCACTGTTCGTTTGAGAACATTTTCATCACCTCAAAAAGAGACCCCGTGCCCCTTAGCTGCACCCCCTTTCTCCCCTGCTTCCAGCCCTAAGCAACCAGTACTCTGCTTTCTGTGGATTTCAACATTTAGTGAGCACTTCATCTGTGTCCAGCACTGGGCTAAGACCATTGCAGTAGCTCAGACAACACTCCCTCACAACAACCAAGTAGAAGAGACACTCAGATGTGTCTTTGTCTTACTGATGTGGAAACTGAGACTCCGTGAATCCGGCTTACAAAGGCCGTAGTTGACAGAGCCTGCTGATGGCTAGATGGTCGTCGTTTGGTTTCTGGAAGAAGCCAGGCCAGGCTGTGGAGGTGGTAGATTGGCGGGGGCAGCCGACTCTTACTGGCTATGAGCTAAGAGGACGGTCCTTGCTGCTTCACTGAGATCATGTGCCACCTGACTTTTTTTTTTTTTTTGAAATGTTTATTCATTTTTGAGAGAGAGACAGAACACAAGTGGGGGAGGGGCAGAGAGAGACGGAGACACAGAATTTGAAGCAGGCTTCAGGCTCTGGGCTGTCAGCACAGAGCCCAATGCGGGGCTCAAACCCACGAACCGCAAGATCATGACCTGAGCCGAAGTCGGACACTTAACCTACCGAGCCACCCAGGTGCCCCACCACCTGACTTTTAAAACGGCTCCAGATTATCTCAGGAGCCTGCAGGTTCCATCCACACTGGGGGAAAGGTGCTGAGCTATCCAGGCCACGATCTACTTTCTGGGGTCCTTGTTAGGAAGGGGGTGCCTGGGCTCTCTAACCGGGGCGTGTTCGTTAGGCCAAACCACTTTGCAGGATGAGCCATGTGGCCCCCTTACTCCGTGGTGACCCTTTTGTCTCCGGACATGGGCTGCAGGTGGACATAAACCAGGAAACAGACAGGTTCCTGCTCCCCTCTCTAGTCTCCCCACTCCGGCTGGGAGGCTGGTCTCGAGGTTTCCCCATCAGTGGTGAAATAAATAACAGGACCTCTTTCCTTCGGCCTGTGGAGCTCCGTGAATGATTAACCTTGATTAAACAGGAAGTGAGAGCCGTGTGACCGCGGACATTTCTGGGCTCTGGCTCTGTTCTGTTTTGCTTCCATTGCCCTCATTTTGACAACAATCTGCAAAGTAGGGATATTATGTGTCCCCATTTGTCAGGTGAAGCGACTGAGGCCTCGACAGGTTAATTAAAGTCACGTTGCCAGCGAGTGACAGAGGCCAGCTGGATGAAGATTTTTTTTTAATTGTATTTAAATCCAAGTTAGTTAACATATAGGGTAATAATGGTTTCAGGAGTAGAATTTAGTGATTCATCACTTGCATTTAACACCCAGTGCCCTAATCCTAACAAGTGCCCTCGTTAATGCCCATCCCCCATCTAGCCCATTCCCCACCCCCTACACCCCAGCAACCCTCAGTTTGTTCTCTGTATTTAAGAGTTTCTTATGGTTTGCCTCTAGATTAAAATTTTTTTTAAGTGCCTGCTGTGAACACAGCACGAGGATGTCTTTAATTAAGCATGTGAGATATAATTTGGTCCTTTCTGATGCTGGGCTGTGTAGGTCTTGTTATTCCCATTTTACAGGTGGGCATCCTGAGGCTGAGACTGAGAATCCTGTCCAAAGAAAGCTAGTGAGAGGTGAACCAGCTCCGCCCAGTTCCAAAGTCTAGCTAGCTCCCTTGGATGTCCCCGCCGCTCTGAGTTTCCAGGACCCCAGCACTTACATGACCTGGGGCGGGGGGTAGGGGGGCCAAGCTGTTAGAGGTACCCTTTCCAAACAGAGGAAACTGCCTGGTGGTTCTCAACTTCGTCAGCAACCACTCCCAGGTGGGGAGAAAGTAAATAGATCTGGGTGGAGATGTTCTTGAAGACTCTGCTTTTCATCTTTGAGCGAGCCAGCTGACAGCTTGCTTTGAAAGGCTGGCAGCATGCCCTTGATCAGTTAACCAGATACTCCTGTTTATGTTACCAGAACAGCGGGCATCTGAGATCACTTCCGGGCAGCTCTTCACCTAGAAACACCAACCAGTGCCCACGCCCTGGTGGCACTGGCAGCGTGTGGGGACCAGAGGGTCTCCAGGGTGGCCCGAGGGAGAGAAGGTACCCTGGCTGTGCCGGCAGCTGCTGCAGAAAACTGAGCCCTGTGCACACATGCTGGCCTGGCACTTTCAGGGGGGCCCTGGCCTGACGCTCTCCCACTGCGGCCAGTGGCGGCAGAGGAGGAGTGGACCCTGGCTGGCATCTGGGCACCTGCGGGGCAGGGGGGTGGGGGTCTCGGGGTTGAAGACCTGACGTTTTACTTAGAGCCTAGATCAGGTTCCTGGTCGTTCTACTGCAGGGAGGGGGATGGAGAAGGAGAAGCCATGTTCCGTTTTAAGACGCTTAGATCCTAGATGCGGGGTTTTCTGGGACCACTTGGCCAGGGGCGTTTTGCCCTTCATCTTCCTCCGCAGTTAACGGGTACTGACTATCGGGGTGGATGGTTTATCCTCATCTTCGCCCCTGACGATGACTTTCTTGGTAATAGTGGACCCTGATGAAGCACTTGAAAGTTTTTCACATCCCTTTCTCTATGTAATATTTGATTGTCTTGCTCATTCTTTTTTTTTTTTTTAATTTTTTTTTCAACGTTTATTTATTTTTGGGACAGAGAGAGACAGAGCATGAACGGGGGAGGGGCAGAGAGAGAGGGAGACACAGAATGGGAAACAGGCTCCAGGCTCTGAGCCATCAGCCCAGAGCCTGACGCAGGGCTCGAACTCACGGACCGCGAGATCGTGACCTGGCTGAAGTCGGACGCTTAACTGACTGTGCCACCCAGGCGCCCCATCTTGCTCATTCTTTTAAGTAGATGGGATACTTTTTTCCTTTTTTTAATCTTTTTTATTATTCTTTTTTATTTTGGAAATTTCTGTGTTTCCCTCCCCCCCGACCCCCCTGATAATACATGAGCACTGATCCCTCTCCCCGACAAAAAAAAAAAAAATTCCCAGAGAAATGGGAAGTTCCCTATATCCTACCCCAGAGGTCTGACTTAGATAAATGTACATGTTTTCAGGCAGACTTTTTTTTTTTAATTTTTTTTTTTAACGTTCATTTATTTTTGAGACAGAGAGAGACACAGAGCATGAACGGGGGAGGGTCAGAGAGAGGGAGACACAGAATCCGAAACAGGCTCCAGGCTCCGAGCTGTCAGCCCAGAGCCCGACGCGGGGCTCGAACTCACGGACCGCGAGATCATGACCTGAGCTGAAGTCGGCCGCTTAACTGACTGAGCCACCCAGGCGCCCCGCAGGCAGACTTTAAAAAAATTTTTTTTTTTTTTTTTTTTTAGCATTTATTTATTTTTGAGAGACAGAGATAGAGCATGAGCAGGGGAGGGGCAGAGAGAGAGGGAGACACAGAATCCGAAGCAGGCTCCAGGCCCTGAGCTGTCAGCACGGAGCCTGGAACTCACGAACTGTTAAGATCATGACCTGAATTGAAGTCGGATGCTCAACCGGCTGAGCCACCCAGGCGCCACCTCCCCTAGGCACACTTTTCTAATATTTGCAGAGCTCTTTTTTTTTTTTTTTTAATAGGTAATGACTGTGTATGGTATAAAATTCAAAAGAAACAAAAGGGTATTCTGTGAAAACCAAATGTCCTTCCCTCCTCAGCCAGGAGGCCCCAGATCCCTTCCCTAGAGGGAGCCACTGTTGCAGGTCCTTGTGTGTCCTTCCAGGGATACTCTGGCATAAAGCCTTTGTGGATGATCCTGTAAACTACTGACAGTGTCTGCTTGTGAGGGTAGGAGCTCGCGGTCTTGAGACGGAAACACTGATCATACTTTGAGTCCTTTGAGATGAGACTATCCCTATGGAATTTATTGGCCTCTTTTGATAAGCAGTGGAGCCCGCCCATCAGAATCAGCCCTACACAGGAACAAAAGATTGTCCCTGGTGCTCTATTTGGCTGTGCTGTCTTTTATTGTTTAATTGAAGTCTAGTTGACACACAGCATTCCATTAGTTTCAGGTGCACAATAGCGATTCTTGATAATTCTATACATTATGCTGTCTATACATCACGGTGTAGCTCCCATTTGTGCTGCTTTTATTTTTTTATTTTTATTTTTAAATTAAAAAAAATTTTTTTAACGTTTATTTATTTTTGAGACAGAGACAGAGCATGAACGGGGGAGGGTCAGAGAGAGAGGGAGACACAGAATCTGAAACAAGCTCCAGGCTCTGAGCTGTCAGCACAGAGCCCGACGTGGGGCTCGAACTCACAGACCGCGAGATCATGACCTGATCCGAAGTCGGACGCTTAACCAACTGAGCCACCCAGCCGCCCCTATTTTTATTTTTAATTTTTAAAAATGTTTATATATATATATATAGAGAGAGAGAGAGAGAAAAGAGACAGAACACAAGCTGGGGAAGGACAGAGAGAGAGAGAGAGACAGAGACAGAATCCAAAACAGGCTCCAGGCTCTTAGCTGTCAGCACAGAGCCCGACGCAGGGCTCGAACTCACAAGCCGTGAGATCATGACCCGAGCTGAAGTCGGACGCTTAACTGACCGAGCCACCCAGGTGCCCCTGTGCTTCTGTCTTTTAATTAGGCATGTTATGCTGGGGAAAGTTGCTGGATTCCAGCCTGCAAGGTGTGAGGGACTTATTTGGGGTCACGTAAAGGGGTGGAGGTGACTTATCCGGGATGGCACGCACACCTGGCTGACCAGGTTTCCTGACCCCTGTCCTCTGAACAATAGCTCCCCCAGAATGATCCCAGGAGAGCAGGAGGATGTGCCTGGGAGAGGCGTGGTCAGCACGTGAGCCTGGGCCCTGGTGGCTCAGTGAGGCGGCGCTGCCCTCCCCCCACCGCCGCCACGCCAGCCTTATTTGGCTGCAGGTGGGTTATCTTGTTTACTCTGTTGCGCCACCAGTAGAAAAGGCACCTTTGTCAACGGAGGCTTCTCTGGTGAGGTCAGCCAAGAGTGGACGGCCTGGATTGTGCACAGAGGTGAGTAAACATCAGAAAGGAAAGTGCTAGCAGGGGGAAGCAGATCGTTAACAACCAGCGACGTTTGCGGACGCCTGGACAAGGGAAGCAGACAAAGTCACGGACATTAGTTACTTGAGTGCCAGCACTGTGCACGTTCGGATGTGTTTTGTTTCAGGTGCTTTTCCTGCTTGTGTGATCCCTCACGTAGTTTCAAACCCGCAGCACACACAGTTCTGTATCCCGCTTTTTGTTAATTATATCTAAGGTTTTTTTTTTTTTTTCCCATAATAGTCTATGATTTCAGAACCCCTCATTTTGGCTGTATAGTGTTCCACTGAGTGGATGAATCATAATGTACTTTACCGATACTTTATTAATATAATTTGGGGCCATTTCTGATCTCTTCCTCTCCAGTAATGCTGGCAAAAACATTTTCACACGCGTGGTCTTTTCTGTCTTCAGCGTCATTTGCCCAGAATAGTGCCTCCGCCCTGGGCATGAGCCCATTGTAGTTCTTTCCCCGGGGGTTGTACCCAGTCGGCCCACTGTGACGTGTTGAGGCCTCGTCACTGTACCCGCCCTGCGGTGGGAATTAGCAGAGACTGATTTTTGCAAATGTAGTAAATGAACATTGGTTCCTTTGTTTCAGTTCACAAAGTGTGGCGGTGTGCGTGGCACATCTAATTGTCATCCCTAGTGACAGGGATCAGTCCTTGATCAGGCCCAAATGAGGGGAACCCCTGCTACCTCTGACAGGAAGTCCCGTCAGCCTCTACTGCCAGATCCCTAGATGGCTGGTGTCAGCTGTGGTGTGAGAAGGGGACTGTGCTAATAAGCACTGCTGTGTTCTTATGGTCAACACACTGGATGTTCCTGCGTGTGCTGCTTCTTTTGTTAGGAGACTTACAGAGATTTCATGTTTTCCCACTGTGGAGCCAGAGTCCCTGAGTCTTTTCTTTTTCTTTTTTTTTTTATCAAAAAAAATTTTTTTAATGTTTATTTTTGAGAAAGAGAGACAGAGCACCAGCAGGGGAGGAGCAGAGAGAGAGGGAGACACAGAATCCGAAGCAGACTCAAGGCTCTGAGCTGTCAGTACAGAGCCCGATGCGGGGCTCAAACCCACGGACCGCAAGATCATGACCTGAGCTGACGTCGGACGTTTCACTGACTGAGCCACCCAGGTGCCCCCCCCTGCCTTTTAAAAAAACATTTTATTTTTAAGTAATCTCTACATCCAACATGGGTCTTGAACTCACAACCCCAAGGTCAAGAGTCGCATGCTCTATCGACTAAGCCAGCCAGATGCCGTGGGACCCTATGAGTCTGAATTCAGGCTTATCCTGGTGACAGCTTTTTGGGGGCTTGTGGGATGTCTTATTTTTAAACGGTATGAGCATTTAAGAACTAGGGGATGCATATAAAAGGGCCGGATTTCTAGCTCCCCTTCATTGGAGAGCTGGCAACCGAGGCCCATGTTCCCATGTGAAATGGGGCAGAGGCTGCTCCTGTCCCCTCGTCACCCCCACTCTCATACTGAAGCTGGGTTCCAGCTGTCACCTGCCGTCTTGTACCCTGGCAACCTCTTCTCTGTGCCCATGTTGCTGTCCCCAAGAGGGCCAGTGTTGTAAGAAAGATGCGTGAGCATACGTGGCGGTGAGGACTAGCCAGTCCTACTTTTCTTACATTTGCCCCTTTTGCTCATGCATTCAACCTCCTTGAGCCTTAGTTTCCTCATCTGTAAAATGGCAAAGAATAATAGCACGTGCTTCGCAGTGTTGCCGTGAAGATACAGGATTTAAAGGGGGTACAATACCCAGAAGTAAGTGCTTAGGCGACGTTAGCTGCTAATCTTATTATTTAGGGCGCATGTTTGTCTCCTGTAGGTTCTCAGCTAGGGGTGAGTTTTGGTTGTCACAACTTGACATGGGGAGCTGTTGCTGGAGTCTCACAGGAGGGGCTAGGGATGTTGCTGAACATCCTGTGATGCATAGAACAGGTCCCCCACCCCTAACAAAGAAGTCACCAGCCCCAAATGTCAATAGTACGGAGGCTGAGAAGCCCTGTTTAGACATTTAAGTGTGACTCTTGGTAACTGAGCTCCTTAAACATATCTCTAAGGGAACAAGGACTGCCTTGGTCTCTCAAAGAATCAGAATTATAAGGGACCTTACTTAGTACGACCCCCAGGGGTACTTGGATCCTTTCCTAGCACCCTCACCAAGCACATGCCTTTGGCAGATAGCACACTGTACATCCAACATTAGGTCTGTTTATTACATTGAACTCCAGCCTTCCCGGAAGCTTCCTGTCCTCCACCTAGTAACGGTGGCCACCATTCATTGAACCTGATGTGTGCGTGGTTGTACTTAGCAGTTGCCATGTGTTGCTGTATTGATCCTTACTATCCTTCAAGGTGGGTTCTCTTCTTATACCCATTTTACAGATGTGGAGATTGAGGGTGGGAGAAGTGACGTCCCTTGTTCAGGATCACTCAGGGGCAGAGCTGGGACTAGATGCAGGTCAGGCTTGCTCTTTGCTTCTGCCTTGTCCCGCCTGGGGCTGCACCCAGCAAGCTGATTTGCTCATCCACAGGAAGATCTTTCAGCTATTTGGGGTGGCCTCTGAGCCCTCTCTTCTGTCCTCCTGGTCAAAGAGCCCCAGTTCCCAGAGTTCCCTGCAAAGACGTGTTTCTGATCCGCTCACCATCCAGAACGCTCTCCCATGTCTTGGTGGTCACCTGCCTGTGTTGTGGCTCTGCTCCCCTCACCTCTCTCCACCACGCTGCCCCCGGCCCCCGGAGAGGCTGCCCACCCCACGGCAGCTCTGTTGACATTTCATCAGCTCAGACTCTGTGCCAGTGCTGACCGGAGTCATCCAGATCCTGTCTAGTTGGTATTTTCACTTCATAGTGACCCATTTTCAATGATACTCCACAAGATTCAGCCCACCTGTACCTGAATCTGAAATCTACGATGTCCTGGTGGAACAGAAAGTGTGTGGGGTGGGGAGTCAGGAGGCTGGCTGGTTTGTGAACACACCCAACTTTGTGGCCTGGGAAAAGCCACTCGCCTTCTCTGGTCGTGTGTCCTCCATTGTGAAGTGAGGCTTTGACTTGGGTGATGTTAGCGTCTTTCCCAGCTCTAACATTCTTTGGTGAAATATTTTGGGCAGCAGGAGCTTGCAATAACTCTAATTAGTGTGGTAGCAGTAATGATAGGTAATTATTAAGCAGTCACTCTCTTCCAGGCTCTTTTCAATGTTTTGAACAGATCGTCTTACTGGCCCCTCCAACCCCATGCTCTTATTACCCCCATCATATTACCCCCCATTCTACAGATGAGTGCCTTGAGGCAGAGCCCTGTTGTGTCACTGGCCCAAGGTGCCCACCTGACCAGAAGTGGTTGCATTGTCTTCTTTAGAATGAACCCTTCCAGGCTCTTAGATGCTCACTCTGTAGAGTGACCTTCCTGTGCTTCAGCATCTCGTGTTTTGCACTCCCTTCTTCCACCAAGATCAAGGCTATGAACGCCGCTGGACTTTAAAGGTTCAGCCTCTGAGTCATGCCTATGGGGTAATCCAGATGGGATACGGGTAGATAATTCAAGGTCAATGAGAGGTTGAACAGGGTCCAGGTTCTCCGCTAGCCCCCCTCTCTCTGTCCAGCACCCTCAGAACTTGCCGCAGGGCTGGAGGAGGGTGAAATGGGAAAGGGAACCTGCGAGCACTTCCAGCATGGCGCCCCAAGCATGTTTCCTGAGCCCATTTCTGCAACTGCGTGCATCCACAGAAAGCCCACTGGTTGCCTCTATCTCTTTAGGCTGTTAGCCAAAGATGGACCCAGTGATGATGCAGTTGGAGCAAGGGGAAGGTCCAATGGGGCCTGGCCTGGCGGGGACTAAGGCAATAAAATGGCCCTCTGCCCTTCGTTTGAATGAGACTGGACCATAGCCCTGCTGGGATAGCACTGCTCCCCGCACTGGGGGTCAAGGGGCCCTGGGTCTCTAGCCATGGATGTCCATTGTGGCTGCTGGTTTTTCCTCCTTGCTGGACCCCTGGGACACTGCTAAGGGGCAGGTGTCCTCCTCGGTCATAATGTTGGAGCTTGAGCATCAAGACCAAGGTCTGTTCGTGCGTCTTCACCAGCTATTGAGACCCCTCCACCCTTCGTGTTTCTTGTGGAAATTACTTGAGCTCTGGGCTTTGAAACCACAGTTTAATAAATCCTTTACTAAGGAGCTCCTGAAGCGCTGCCCTGGCCAGGGAAGCGTGAATCTTCAGTGTCTCAGACACAACAGGTGGGGCCATATGCTGGAGGAAAGAATATCACTGCGTGGTGTGCCTGGATGCCCACGTTACTGGTGCTGTACTTCCCCCCCCCCCCCCCGCGCTCCCCCCCACACACTCTTTACCCTATTAGTCTCTCCTCTGTTGAGGAGTCACAAGGCCACTGTCAAAGTCACATGCTTTCTGCACCCCACACAATGGTAGTCCTTTCCCGTAACACATCCGCGTTCTCAGACACACTAAGTGTCTTCTTGGGAACCCAGGGCCGCACTTTTGGGGTGGGCCTCAGGCAGAGTTTGGTGGGAAGGCTGCAGGCTGGGGACACAGAGTGGTGGGTCCACCGGGAGGTTCAGGGGAGCTGCCCTTTCTCCTCCTTTACCATGGATTGTGCACTTTTCTAAGTGACAGGCACTTTCTAAGTGTTTTCTAGTGAATCCTCCTGACTTAAAGCATGCCGTCACTGTCTCTCTTTTACTGTTCAGGAAACTAAAGTTTAGGGAGGGTAGTCTGAAGGTCACGCAGCTTGAAGAGAGTAGATCTAAGCACTGAATCCAGATCTGGTATATCTCGAAGGCACATTCTCGGTCACCAAGTTACCTCCGCCATTTCCTATGTAAGCCTGAGTTGCGTGATGGGTGCTGCTTGTTGGTGGAACTGTCTTATTTGGGAGGTGCTCAGACGCCCCTTCAAGGCATCATCAGTGGGGCCCGGGATGCAAGACTGAGGGTTTTAGCGAAGCGCAGTCCCAGAGGCCTCAGAAGCAGGGTTTTGTGTGGGAGACGTGAGCAAACACAGGTGCATTTCTGTCTCCCAGGGCTCTGAGCCTGGCTTCCCCAGGAAATGGGGCTGGCTGCTTTCAACAGCATTTTCCTCTTGCAAAAGCAGTGTCTTTTTTCAAAACCAGCCTCTTCCTCTCATCCCCAAACCCTCTCCACAACTGGGTGATAAACAGTGAGATTTCACAGGCCCCAGCTGTGCTGGTGATTCCCGCCAGGACTCTGGCCGCATTAGGACTGAAACTGTCCCCTGCTTGGGGGGTTGGGAGGGGTGTGGATCCACTTACCCTCCGGTCTATAGAAAACTCCAGGCAGTGGCAGAGTGTGGGCCTGGAAGGGAGATGAGAACAAGGCGCTGTGGAAATCCAAGATGGTGGTAAATGAAGAAAGGCTGCCGCCCCCCCCCCCCCCCGCTAACTACACAGTGTGGTGACATCCAGGCAGTAGTATATGGACAGGTGCAGCTGGGGGAGAATATGGAACCACAAAATAAATTATCTTCAAGATAAAAAATTTCTCTAACACTAATATTTTTTACAACAACCAAAATAGTCTTAACAAAATGAAGATAAAGGCTAAGTGCCCTCTCATTTCCTGCCAGGTTGTAGCACCAACACAAAGGAAGGGCACCCAGTAAATATTCCTTCTTGCCCTTTCCTCTGAGCTGTCGTCTCACACTTCCGGAGGGTCCCTGAGGGCACTGTGTGGCCCCCTGCTCTGATACCATCCGGCATCACCCACAGGCGCAGCGGGATCATCCAGGCCCCCTCACTGCACATCAGCTTCTCACTGGCTCCTTCCCCAGTTGCCCAATTTTCCACTAGAATGTCCGCTGCACGGGGCAGGGGTTTTGCTCTTTTGGTCACTGCTGTGTCCCTGACTCTGTGCCTGGGACTCTGGGGAGAGCATCGAGTCCACACCTTCAGGAGCTCTCATTCTAGCAGGTGGCCAGGCAAGGAACGTGCAGTGGGATATGGCAATGATGGAGTGGGTGTAGGGTGCTTTCGGCTCTGTGCCCCAACCCAGATGTGGCAGTTGGCTGTCAGGGAGGCTTCCCGGAGGAGGTGATATCTTAGCCTGATCTTGGGAGATGAGCATGAGCTAGCCAAGCCACTATCCTAGAGGATATTCCAGGCTGAGGATTCGTCTACGCCCCCTGCCCACCCTTAGCCTATGTGCCAACCTTCGCAAAGCTTTTGGAGAGCACATACGCGCCTCTTCTCTCTCACGGGAGCAGACCGGCCTACAGAGTGGAGGTGTGTTTGCAGGGACAGAGAAGTAGCCCATGTTGGTAAATTCCTAGTGAGGCATTGTTTCAAGGTAAGGGCAGAACTGGGGGTGTCATAATACTGCCTCTTCTCCCCACCTACGGGAACGGTTATCCCTTCTTCCTGCTCACAGGCTCTGTAATTCTTCCTTATAAACCTAAGCAACCATTTCTTTTCCCCTGATGGTCACCGGTGTGGCGATCTTCCCTTCTGCCAGTTCATTGCCACTTAACTGTTCCTCCGGGGCAAGAGGAAGTGTTGCGGTGGGGGGGTCATGAGTCTGGTGACCTTGCTGAGGAGGAGGGTAGTTCTGGGGCGGCTGCTGCTGCTGAGTAACACACTGCTCACTGTCGCAACTTCGCAGGGCAGGTGGGAAGAATGCTGACTGGCCCTGCTGTGGGGGGCTGGACGTTGGCTCTTGAGCCCCCATGTAGTTGAGTGCCGTTTGGTTGATGCATAGAAGTGTGGAGTTGCCAAAAGTGGATTGGATCTGAAGCAAGAGAGTTCCTCTCTCTGTTTCCCGTGGAATGTGGCAGCTGGGGAGAGACCCCTGCCCAGATTTTAGGCGGGCGTGGGAAATTGAAGCACACGCTTTTTTTTTTTTTTTTCTCTGCTTGTTGAGTCACCCTGTTCCTTGTTTGAGCCACAAGGTGGTGCTGTTGGCACAGGACTGCTTGGTTGCTACAGAAGAGGCTTCAGTGTTGCTGCTCTGTCCCCACCGGCTAGAAAATTACAATATAGACGGTCTTTCATTTTCTCTCCTTAGATTCCCTTCCTGGAATTCTTCCTCACGCTCTTGCAGCTTGAGGTGGCTCCACATCCCTACCCCAGACATACACAACACGCGGGCATCGGGATGCTCACCGTTTTCTCCTTTATCCTGATCCCGGGCCTCTGAACTCTGATCCCGACAAGACTTACTAAGTCTTTCCCTTGTCCCTGCCAAGTGGACAAGGATTTAACGAACTGTTTTGCCCTAATTAATTAGTGAGGCTTAATGTGTTACCTCTGGGGTAATCTGCCTTGTAACTGTGAAGACCGAAACTAAGCCTTATACCCCAAGAGGTAAGTTGCTGGCCCTTCTGCTGTGGACGGGGTGGTGTTTTTGGAAGAAGGTTGGTTGGGGAGGCGTTAAAGGACGTGTTGCTTTGTCCATCCCACTGGTGCCAACACAGCAGCTGGAAAGGGCATGAGGCAGGTGGGTCCTGGGGATCCCCGGAGGCCCCTGTGAGGGCTTCAGAGACCATGGGGCCTGTGGGGAGCCTGACCGCCTGCTCGTCTTTCCTTTGCCCAGACGTTCACGGCATGGTGCAACTCCCACCTTCGCAAGGCGGGGACGCAGATCGAGAACATCGAGGAGGACTTCCGGGACGGACTAAAGCTCATGCTGCTGCTGGAGGTCATCTCAGGTGAGGTGGGCCGCCCTGGCCGAGACGGGGTGCTGCCTGCTGGGCTCGGCCACTTTGGGAGCATTGTCTGCCACCTGCTTCTGCTCTGCCATTGGTCGTGGTGAGCTGTGGGTCTCTTGCAAGAAGTCAGGGGCGACCTGTGTGAATTAAGACGAGGAGACCGGGTTTGCTTCCGGCTCTGCTGTGGCCGGCCGTCCATGAGTCCTTGGACATGTCACTGCCTTTCTGCCTTAGCACCCTCATTTGCAAAACGAGGGAGTATGGAGGGTGGTCTCGGAGGTCTCTTCCCCCTCCAGAGTGCTTGGACTTTGGGGTCATTATGTAACCATCTCCAAACCTCAGCTCCACTAGAACCCATCTGCCTATATCCAGATGATCCCACTCACTTATCTGGCCCCCCGTGTAGAATTTGGATGTCCAGAAATCTGGAGGGGCAGCTCCCTTTCAATGCACATTTCCACTTTCTTATGAATACCTTTCCTCCACCATGCCTTAGCGGTCGGTGGTTCCAACATTCTCACCTTGGTTCATACACTGGGTAATCATAGCTACTCTCTTCACTTTACCTTCTACCTTGACCCTAGTGAGTCCCAGACCTGGTCTCAGTCCAGCCTTTTCTCTCAAACCCCATCTCCACCCACATGCCCCCCAGGGTCCCCTCAGCGTGTCCCAAACTGCGCTGACCAGCCCTGGCCCCGGCAGACCTCTTTCCTCTCATCATCTCCATCTTGTCCTTTTGAGCCTAATGTAGGAATCAAAGACCTCTCTTCCTCTGTCTCCAACTGGGCATTCGAGTTCTGTCCATTCTGTTATCCTTTCTTTTTTTCTTTTTTAATGTTTATTTATTTTTGAGAGAGAAAGAGCAGGGCAGGGGCAGAGAGTGAGGAGAACAGAGGATCCAAAGCGGGCTCCGTGCTGACAGGAGCAAGCCCAGTGTGGGGCTCGAACTCACGAATCGTGAGATCATGACCTGAGCTGAAGTCGGACGGTCAGCTGAGCCACCCAGGCGCCCCTTTCTGTTATCCTTTTAACCTCTGCTACCGTGGTATCAATGTGGCCCTGGGTCAGCTCTCACCTAGGTGGTCCACAGAGGCCTGCAACCCCCACTTGGCTCCTTCCCCGCTGCTGCAGTCCATCACCCACAGCGCAGCCAGAGGGACCATCTGACGGCCCAAATATGGTCTCCCTGTTCCCTGCTCAGAGCCCTTCAGTGCCTCCGGGCTCAAAGCCTGCGGCCCCGCATTCCTTAGCATAGCTTGAGGGATCCTTTGTGAGCTGGCACCTGTTTTGTTTTCAACTAACTTCCCAAAAAGGTATCAGACCTCAGACCCTCTGCCACCCCAAGAAACATGCAGTCCTCACCAATGACATGCTTTCTGGAAACCCTCTGGGCTTTTGCATAAGCTCCAACTGACTTTTCCCCCCCCAATACTTCTAAATAACCTCTTGCAGGTGAAATCTGTGCATTGGGGGTGGGGTGGGGAAGTGTGTGTGTGTGGGGGGGGGTAAAATCTGCATAACATAAAATTTAGCATTTTGAACATTTTTAAAGTATTTATTTTGAGAGAGACAGAGACAGCATGAATGGGGGAGGGGTAGAGAGAACGGGAGAGAGAGCGGGGGGAGAGAGAATCCCAAGCAGGCTCTGCACCATCCGCATGGAGCCTGACGCGGGTCTCGAACTCACGAAACTGTGAGATGATGACCTGAGCTGAAAGCTTAACCAGCTGAGCCACCCATGCCCCCAACATTTTGAACATTTTTAATTGTACCCAGAAGTAGTCAGTACGTTCCCAGTGTTGTGCTGCCATCACCACCATCCATCTCTAGACTTTTCCATCATCCCATGCAGACTCCAAGCCCATTAAACACTAACTCCCCCATCCCTTCTCCCTCGAGCCCCTGGAAGCCACCATTCTTTTAGTCTCGGTGTGTTTGCCTGTTCTCAGCACCTCGTAACAGTGGAATCATACAGGACACGTGTCCTTTTGCGGCTGTCTTATTTCATCGTGACGTCTTCTGCGCTCATCCGTGTTGTACCATGTGTCGGAATCTCCTTCCTTTGGCAGGCTAATATCCCACTGTATGTACGTGCCACGTTTTGCTTATCCACTCCTCTGATGGGACATTTGGACGGACGGTTTCCACCCTGTGGCTATCGTGAAAGATGCTGCTGTGAACATGAGTGGATGCTGTCTGTTCGAGTCCCTGCTTTCAGTTCTTTGGGGGTATAAACCTAGAAGTAGAAATGCTGGATCATATGGTAATTCTATGTTTAACTTTTTGTAGGAACTGCCATACTGTTTTCCTTTAACTGCCTTTTAGAGCATCCTTCCCTGCCTCCTCTTCAGCATTTCTTTGTTTAAACAAACCTGGTGTTGTTCTTTTTCATTCTTTAAAACTCAGCTCGGGGTTTCCCTCCAGGAAGGCTTTCACCACGTGAGTGGCCGCCCTCCTTTGGGCTCCTGTCACACCCCATTAATTCCTCTACTGTGTTAGTTTCCCCGTGGCATGATCATTTTTGGCTCACTTGGTTTTTTTCCCCCCTTCTACCCTGAGCTGTTTGGGGACAGGGATGGTCTCATCTTTGTGTCTCAAGTGCTTCAGATTGTACTCGGCATGTAGGTGATGCTTGGCAAATAGTAGGGTGACCGGATGCCCTGAACTGGGCTTTTCTGTGTAGCTGCCAGTGTGTCCCCACTGAACGGGACCGGTGTGTGTCCGTGAAGCGGGCTTGTCTCTTCCCATGGAGTGGGAGAAATGGAGTCACCGAGACGTTGCCTTTTCTTCCTTGAGTGTCTTGAGGTGGATAGAGTGACGGAAGGAAGGGGCTGCTGCCTGCAGAGGTTCTCTGAGAAGCGTCCCTGGACCACCCACACCAGAGTCCACAGGACTGCTTGTCAGCCTGCAGATTCCCGGAACACACCCCAAACTTCCTAAATCAGAAACGTAGGTGGCAGGTGAAGGCTGGGTGTCTGAAGTTCGAGAACTGCTGGCCTGACGGCCTCCGCCGTCCTGTTCCAGCCGGTGTGCACAGCCGTCAGCTGGCTGGGGAGCCCGGGCTTGGTGGGACCTAACGGCTGGGTCTTTAGCAGGAGGGCCTTCGGGGCGGGGGGTGGGATGGGGTGCCGCTTCCATCCATCCTGTGGGAAGATGTGGCGTGTCATCCGCCCGGGAGGACGGCGGGGTACCTTGCTGGAGAGGCTGAGCAGCGGCCGCCAGTGGAAAGTCCTGATTTAATCACAAAAGCCCAGCTGTGCTTCCCTGGGAACTGCCTCATCCCATCTGTAGCAGGAAGTCTGTTCCCTAGAAGCTGGGGGGCTGGGAGGCCCCCTGCAGAAGCGCTGCTCTGACCTTGTGGCCGCCCAGCCCCTTGAGCTCCCTCAGCCAGGCGGCTCACGTGCTTGGTGTGGCACGGAGGGGTGTGCAGCTGGCTGTGCTGGAGACCGTGGCAGGTGCAGGCGTGCTGAGTCTGGGGCTCAGCCCTTTGGTGCCCCTGGCCTCTTAGAGACTTTACTGCTCTGTGCCCTTCCCCCGGTATGGGCGCGCGTGTTAGGCATATGAATTTTTCAAATAGTTTCGAGAAGGCCCCGAGTGCCTCTGTTCTGAGCCGAAAGTGCTCTTAGTGGGCTGTTGGGGGCACCATCCTTTCCCCACAGCTTCTGAGCCTGACACCTGAGTTGGAGGAGGGGGGGGGGGGGGGGGGGGGGGGGTTGACTTGGAGCCAAGCCAACGATGTCCCTGCGGGAGGCAGCGGTTTCAAGTGAGAGAGGGAGGCTGTGGGCAGCTCCATTCAAACGCCAGGAACTTTTCCAGAATATTCGAGAGTGCCGACACACCTTCCCAGGCCGAACGTTCCAGACTAGGAGGGATTGAGGGCCTTTGCATGTGCTGTTCCTTTTCTGCCTTGAGCATCACTCCCTGCTGTCCTGGCCTGGCCGCCCTCCCACTCACAGGCCTTCCCTGACTTCCCTAAGCCCTTTGTCCTCTTCCTGTGCTCCTCTGCATCCTTTTGTTAAGTATTTATCCTTCTTGGTGTTTGCTTATTTGCATATACTTGTGTGTTTCTCTGTTGAAGCTCCTCCTGGTCCGTAAGTGCACAAAGGCAGGAAACGGTTTCATTCACCCCTCTATTCCTAGCCCCCAGCCAAGTCCCTGATTGGGGGGGGGGGGTGCTTACTACAGATCTGCTGGGTGGAGGCAAGCAGTTCAGGTCTGAGAAGTGGCAGAAAAGAGGCAGGGTCGGCTCTCTCTGTTGTTTCCTGCCAGCGTGGCCCTCGCTCGCAGCCAGGCGAGGGGGTCGTGAGAGCAGCAGCCAGGGTCCCGGGAAACAGCATCTCACCCTTCCTGCCCTCCCTCTCGGTCTGTATTCAGGGGAGCGCTTGGCCAAGCCGGAGAGAGGCAAAATGAGAGTGCACAAGATCTCCAACGTCAACAAGGCCCTGGATTTCATCGCCAGCAAGGGAGTCAAGCTCGTGTCCATTGGAGCCGAAGGTGAGTGAGGCCTGCTGGTGGGCTGGCTCCTCTGAGGAGCCTGAGTTTCTGCTCTCCGCTCTCCTGGCCTTTTCTGCCCTGACTCCCGGAGTCCCGCATCGCTGGGGGCATTTGGAAGTGAGGCCGCCGGCACCTCCACCTGGTCGACCTGTGGATTCTACATGTAACAAATACGCTTTCCATCCAGTCTCTGTGCCCCCCACCCCCGGGTCTGCCTCCTGGAAAGCCAAGGGCCAGCTCCCTGGTCCTCACCCCAGTGCCAGCCCCTCCTCCACACGCCCAGCCTAATCCTGGTGCCGTGGGGTCCCGTGTGAGCAGAATGCTACTTCCCTCACCCGAAGGCCTGCCTGCACTTTGCTGCCCGGGGTGGGGAATCCTATTGCCTGGAGAGTGTCAGACATGGACTGGGTTGGCAGTGAGGGCTGCCCCAAGGCCCCACAGAGTCCCGGGAAGACTGATGTCCAAAAGCCTTCTGGGACATTCAGGGACATTCCGAATAGCATTCCTCTGCCTGTTAGCTTCTTAACTCTTTTTTTCTTCACTTGAGAAAAACAAAAAAACAAACTTTAAAGCTCAGTATAAATTGTTATTAGCTTGTTCTTAATGGTTTAGAAGAGGCAGTGCAAAAAAAAAAAAAAAGGAGAGGCAGTGCAGTTTCTTGTGTGCACTGGGGCGGCTCTGAAGGATTTGGGGAGGGTGGAGGTGATTAGAATAGGACACCCTAACCAGGCCGTGTCAGGACTGTGTCCCAAGGACTCAGCCAGGACTCAGCGGGCACCTGCCATGCAGCACCAGAAATCTAGAGATGGAAAGAGTCTCCGTCCATTCATTCATGATTGAAGGTATGTGCACGGCTGCGATCGCTGAGCACATATGCTGTGGAGGGGGTGTGCCAAAGCCCCGTGTACCAGTGATCTCATTTAACCCTCACAGCAGCCCTCTCTGGTGGCCCCAGTTATCCTCACTTGATGAGAAGGAAACAGATGCCCTGACGAGATGAAATAACTTACTTAAGGTCCCAAGGGCAGTAAATGGCAAAACCAGAACTCAGACCCGGTCTGCATGACCCCAGAGAGATGCCCCTGGAGAGCGGCCTTTTCTTAAAGAGGGTGGGGGACTTGCTCCAGTAAATCACAGGAGCAGATCTCTCTTCTGGTTGATGAATTTAAAGCCCCTGGCGCCCTTCTTTTCTAGTAATTGAGGGATTGAATATTGCTACATCAAACACAAACGTTAGCACGGTGTTGGCAAAGTGTAGCCCATGATGTCAAATGCGGCTGACACGGGTTTTTGTAAATACTGGAACGCAGCCACACCTGTCTGTTTGCATGTTATCTGTGTCTGCTTTCCCGCTACAATTGGCAGAATAGTTGCGACAGAGACCATATGGCCTGCAAAGCTGAAACTATTTCCTGTCAGGCCTTTTACAGAAAAATGTTGCCATCCCCTGCCTTACTGGGGACTCAAGCTAATGCTTGAGCGGTCATGGGTAGGGCCTCGTGTGGCCCGGCCCACCTTCAGCTGTGGAGCAAAGACTGCATCTTCCACATCCGTGTGGTGCCGGCTCCTCACAGTGTGATGCACATAGTAGGTACTCAGTAAATGTTTGAAGGACTTGCACACGGCAGGGTACTTGGTTTTCTGAGTGGGGACGTATTCTCTGCTTTTTAACAAGAAGAAAAGAAAAGAGTAGGTTGGTCTGTTAGGGAGGAATAAAGACGTGGCAGAAAAAGTTTCAACCGAGCAGGGCTGGGACACCAAAGAAAATGGCACTCAGCTGGTTTGGAGCAACCACACATGTCTCCTGGGGCCGGGAAGTGAAGGATGGAGAAGGTGGGTCAGGGATGACTGTAGGGATGGGTGGGGATTGTGGAGAACTGGGAGAGCATGTCCTTCTAAGCGGGGCACCTGCCATGCATCTCTAATCGTTTGTTGCTCTCTGGGAATGTGGGTTCCAGCATCGCCACATCTTTCAGTGTTTTAAAAGAAGCCAGAAATCCAGATTTTTAGAAAGAAAAATTTAATAGCTATCTAACAACAAAAAAAAAAATTTTTTTTTTTTTTTTTTTTTTTAAACTCTGAAGTCCAAAGGGGAGGAGGGAAAGGGCAGATAGGAGGGAATAGCGCTTGGTTCTGGCTTTTTGCCTGGTCGGACCGGATGCTTTGCATGGGATATCCCCTTTGACCTGAGGGCAGGCCTGTAGGGTGGGTATCACTGGCCACATTTTACAGTCAAGGCCAACAGAAGCTTACAAACGTTGCTAGGGTTTTGAACCCAGGGGTTTGGGCTCCAGAGCTGAGGTCTGAACTTCTTCCTGTCACTCCGGACACCGTTGGAGTCCCATGCGGGGGCCAAGGATAGGACTGTCCCATCAGCGACCAAGTGGCGGGCCAGGTTGGCTGTGCTCCCCCCAGCAGGGGGTGAAGAGCAAAGACAGACACTGGCTCAAACTCCACCCAGCACCTCTGGCCTTCCCAGAAGTCTGTTAACCAAGCCGGCCACAGTTTCCAATTTTTTTCACATGGGCTCACTCCTCTAAAGATTTTTATTATTATTTTTTAAAGTTTATTTATTTGAGAGAGAGCACACCCGAGCAGGGGAGGGGCAGAGAGAGGGAGAGAGAGAATTTCAAGTAGGCTCCATGCCATCAGCCATCTGGAATAAGATGCTGGGCTCGAACCTGTGAACCATGAGATCATGACCCAGGCTGGAAGTTGGACACTTAACTGACTGAGCCACCCAGGCACCCCTCCTCTAAAGATTTTTAAAGGGTCCTTTAAAATGAGATCATCCTTACCTTCTCTCTGCCTGCAGGAGTCAGGGCTTCAGGCTGATCCTTCCGCTTTGAAATCCTCTCTCCCGTTTCACGGTGAGCACTGAGATCATGCTGTGATGGCTGCCCTGCTGTGCCAGGACACTGGACGAGGCCACATGTGGGCTTTGTTTATTTTAATGAAATGAAGTTTACCGCTGTAGACTATATAACAAAACGCGGTGGAGCGGATCACCCGGAATGAGCTCTCCTGGGGGCTGGGCTGGGGTGGGGGGAGGTGTTGCTGGTTGCCCTGAGGAGCCATTCTGGGCCGAGGGGAGCAGGCCTGGCGTGGGCAAGACCTTTAAAGAACTATCATGTGGTGCAAGGACTAGACTCCGGCCAAGCCCTGAAGGGCAGAACCAGGCCCGGGAGCCCCCCTGGGCAGGCTGATTCTGCATGATGGAATGGAATGGGTGCTCCCCGGCAGGGGGGGCATATGGCCCCTGTCCCTGAAGGTGTTCAGATGGAGGCCGAAGGCAGGGAACTTCCGTACATCCCGGAGGGATTAGGATAGGTCCTCACGGTTTCCTTTACCAGACTTGGTTTAGTGTCCAGACTTCATAGAGTTGAGGCTTGTCCTAGGTGAGTGGTTGGGATTTAAGCAGGTGAGAGGACCGGGGAGGATTTATGTTAAGATCTTTGGGCAGGGAAAGCTTGATGGCTTTGGGGGCCAAGAGCTTGGCGGTGCTCTTGATGATTTCTCACGTGTCCTCGGGGTGGAGGGGGTAGTGGGTGCAGTAACTAAAGCATCGGTCTGGGAGGTGGTGACATCCAAGTCTAGTTTCTGTCAGGTGGAACGTCTTCATTCTGCCCTCTGAATCGTGTGCAGGCGGCCGCATCCCTGGAGTGGGGGCAGGGGGTAAATGCAGGATGCAAGCAGCTCCTTGGCTGGCCGTAGACCAGAAATTCAGAAACATGCCGCTTCTTCCCACACCCGTGGCACACATTGTAGTCTGTCATTGTGGTTTTGTCCACAGGGCCCAGTGGTGGCCTTGGGACCCTCCTTTTGGACCCAGCATGCGTGGTAGCCCCCTGATGTAAAGCTGCTGGTGAGATGGGGTGTCCCTGCTCCAAACATACAGATGCCTGGGAAAAGGGTTTGTTCTGGGGCTCCTCTGGGGAGGGCTGTTCTCTGGGGGTGGAACAGGGAGCCAGTGGGCCCTGAGGCTGGGGTGGTGCGTGGGGTGTTAACACCCCTCCCCCCTTTTTGCCTGTACTTGGCTCTCCTCTTTCCCGGAGGATCAGGTATGAGTGAGAATTCAGGGAGCAAAACTCCCTGGGGGTTTCTAGGGGAAGGAGGGAGAGGAGTAAGCAGGCAAAACCCAAGAAAGAAGCCACTCTGTCTCCCTGAGCTTGTCTCCCTTAGTGCTGGGAGGGTGCTGAGCTCCGGGCCAGCAGGAGGCACGGGTGTTTGGCTTTCACGGTTGGGGCAGAGGCGGGAACCCATGTAGCGGCCTCTCCTCCGATGGGAAGGTCACGTGGCCCTGTTACCACCGGAGCCTCTTCTAGGCTTTAAAAAAAATGCCCCCTGTATTTGAAACACCGTCCCTGAAATTTCATACTTGCTTTTTCCACTTTCCATATTACAAAGATTTCTCCAAGTCATTAAAAAGTCATGAATGTAATATTCAGTGGCTGTGTTAATTGTTGAGCCCAGCTGTGCTCTGTCCCAGACCTGGGTCCTGCCCTGGAGGAGCTTGAGTGCGGTTATGTTCTCCCAACCCCAGGCCTGGGTGACTGCCACCCATTCACCCACATGTGTGTAGTGACTTCCAGTATTCATTCATTCATTCATTCATTCACTCATTCATTCATTCAGCAAATGTTGATGGAGGGCTTTCTCTGTGCCAGGCACCGTGCTGGGCTCTAAGCAGCGATGCAAAACAGAAAAATTGTTCCCCCCTTGGAGCTTACATTCTGGAAGGGGAACAGAGAAAATACACACATACATGCGTCAGAAGGGGAAAAACCAAGCAGGGAGTAAGGTGGGAGGTTTCTAGGAGAAGATGCAGTGGGGATGGGAGGGAGGTGAGGGACAAGTCACATGGGGGCCATGTGACTGGAGGAGATGGGGGGACCGTGAGGACCTCACTGGCCACTGGCTTTGACTCCGAGTAAGGTGGGAAGCTATGGAGGTTCTGAGCATGGGGGTGCCAGGGGCTGGGGATTTACTCAGTCACACCTCGAACTTGGTATATTCTTGAAGTTTCCAACTTGGGGCCATGATAAATGACCCTACGACAAACTCCTTTATGCAGTAACCTTACTCTGCATTTCAGATCATTGTCTAGGGACAGATTCCTAGAGGTGGATTTCACCGTGAAAAAGTCGAACAACTTCAAGGTGCTTGATCCTGTTGCCAAATTATTTCCCAGAAAGTGTTTTTTTCAACCAGTTTTTACTTCTAGCCACAGTGTGGTAGCCTTGTTACCATCATGGTGTGTGTTCCTTGTTTTTTAACTTTGCTAATTTAGTAGCTGGGAAAATGTTATCTCTTTAATTACAGGGAGAAGGAACATGGTTATAAATTGGTTATATTTCATATTTTGTGAAGTATTTATTCATGTTTTTTGCCTATTGTGAATTTAGATTTTTTTCCTTATCAATTTATATAAACTCTTTTATTTTTTAAATTAAAAAAATTTTTAATTTATTTGTAATGTTTTATTTATTTTTGAGATAGCGCAAGCAGGGGATGGGCAGAGAGAGAGGGAGACAGAGGCTCCAAAGTGGGCTCCGTGCTGTCAGCAGAGAGCCCGATGTGGGGCTCGAACTCACAAACCGGGAGATCATGACCTGAGCCAAAGTCGGACGTTCAACCGACGGAGCCACCCAGGTGCTCTCCCTGTATAAACTCTTTAAACGTACGGATACGAAACCATCGGAAGTCACTAGTGAAAAGGCATTTTTAAAAAACCAAATCTTTATGAACTGACTCCTGACTGATTAACTGCCTCTACTTCCCCCCAGCATGCTCTGCAAAAAGCTGGCTGGCTCTCTTACCTGTTAAAGAAGATGGTGGTCTGCTACTCAGTTGTCTGTCTCTAACCCAGGTCCTCTGACTCGGGTCTGTGTCCTGCGGGTATCTGGGGCTCTGGGAAGGGCATTTAAGGCCATCGTTAGCAGGAAGGGTTACATCCTGTCCCCTGTCCGATGTGGACACTGTTCCTTCTAGACCCCACCCCCCATGCAGGCTCCACAGAGTTACCCCCCACCCCCCGCCCCCCGCCAGGAAGCAGCAACACTGCTCTGTACCTTCTTGGTCACATGGCAGCATGCAGTTTTGCCCTCACTTTGGAGGGGATAAGATGTTAGAATCTTAGAATGTCATCTCCTTAATGGAATCTACTCTTGTTTAAGGGGTTTGTGGGAAGCAGACCCTAGTGGACATGGGCTCAGGATATCGGGAGTTCCTGGAACTTACTCCTTCTCATGGTTCTGGTAGGTTTGTCCTGCAGTTAGCTTTTCAGGTTGGAAAAAAAAAAAAAAAAAAAAAGATATTCTTTGGATGCCAAACTCTTAGCTGAGAGTACCTTGCCATGGGGCCGGGTTACTGTCTCCTGGTCTGGAAGCAGGTGAGGGTTAGGGATCTGTTTGTTGGGTTGATTACCTTCTGATGTGGACACTGGCTTTCTGGGTGTGGGTGGCTATTTTGAGAGCTGTGGTCACCCAGACTTCCCTGACTCACAGAATTGCCAGAACATTTGCGATGATTTAGAAACATCTCCTTTTTCTCTGTCAGGCTGGTGAAGACACCCCCTTCTCTCTTGCCTTCCCAAATGTACCCCATTGGAATTGATCACACCTGCCTTGTGCTCAGGGTCACCTCCAAATAGATTTCTCTCCTGTCACCTGTGGTACCTGGTTGTACTTTAAAAACCCATACCCACTTTTCCCTAGAAGTGGAGCTGTGTGGTCCTTGATTTACTACATGGTACACCCATGGATGTGGGCACTCCGGGAATTTTAACTCTGTCCCTGCCGAGAGCCATCCTAACATGTCCTGATGCCATTTCTGTAGAAATCGTGGATGGGAACGTGAAAATGACCCTGGGCATGATCTGGACCATCATCCTCCGCTTCGCCATCCAGGACATCTCTGTGGAAGGTGGGTCTTCTGCTCTGTTCCATTAGTCCCTGAGCCCCCTCCACTCCCCTGCCCTTGCCTCACATCTTCTTTCCTGGACTCAGCCTGGAGAACTCCCTGACCCCTGACAATGGGGGCTTAATCATGGGCCACATCTTGGGCTTCTGACCCTTTGCTGTTATCTGCCCTCCCTCCTAGTCTGTAGAGAAATAAGAACTGATTGGGGTTCTGGTTTCCACTGGTATGTTGGCCCCTGGGGAATCCCCCTGACGCTAAGCCTGCCTGAGGTTACTCTGGGGAACTGGAAACCCCACCTGGTTTGTGGGCTGTTAAATCCAAAAAGGTAGGGAGATAGCAGCCTGGAGGGAGTGTCTTGGGATTCTGAGATGACCCCAGGTCCTCCACTTTGCTCCCACAGCACCCTCTGGTGGCCACTTCGCAGATCTTTAAGAGGCCACCATAGTTTGGGGCTGGGATCTCTGAACTTTTGGTTCCACACTCCAGCAGTTTCTGAGCTTTATATCTGATATGCGTGTATTCATTTTGTAATAAGTTATATTTGTGTATTGTAATTCATATTATGAAACCTATACCAAAACAAATTTCAAAAAGATGACACGGAGATAATATTTTTTAAATATTTTTTATTCATGTGGCGCCTGGCTGGCTCAGTCATTGGAACATGTGACTCTTATCAAACTCAAAACATGTGAGTTTGAGCCCCACATTGGGTGTAGAGATCACTAAAAAAATACACTTTAAAATTTATAATTTAAATTCATTTTATCAGCCAGGAATCTTTTTTTTTTTTTTAATCTTTATTTATTTTTGAGAGAGAGATCACAAGCAGGGGAAGAGTAGAGAGGGAGGGAGAGAGAGAGAGAATCCCAAGAAGGCTCCACACTCACAGCACAGAGCCCATTGTGGGGCTCAAACCCACAAACTGTGAGATCATGACCTGAGCCAAGACCACAAATTGGATGCTTAACCAACTGAGCCACCCAGGTGCCTCTATGGCCCAGGAATCTTATAAAGACTTTTATTCAAAGTAATTTTTTTAATGAGAATAATGCAGATTAAATTGTTTGCTTATAGAAATCTTGGTTTGACACATGATGATACAGCCATGTGAAGGTCTAAGTTTTATTTATAGATACTTGGTATTTAGGGCTGAAGTGGTTAAAAATGTGTCCACAATAGTCACTTTGAACATGGTTCTTTTTAGTAATGATGGATATAAATCCATTTTCAAGTTGCCTTCTTGATAAGTTTGATTTTTTTTTAAGTATTTATTTACTTTTGAGATAGAGACATAGCATGAGTAGGGGAGGGGCAGAGAGAGAGGAAGACACAGCATCTGAAGCAGGCTCCAGGCTCTGAGCTGTCAACAAAGACCCTGACGCGGGGCTCAAACTCATAAACCACGAGACCATGCATGACCTGAGCGAAAGTCGGATGCTTTACTGACTGAGCCATCCAGGCGCCCTGATTAGTTTAATTCTTTGGGGCTGACCTTGTCGGCTCTGGTTAAATTGTCGTTGTTTTAATCTTGTAATATAGCTGATGAAAAGCTGGAGCTGAGTAGAAGCATTAGCTTTGCTGATTTTTTAATTGTTTGCTTGTGCTTGAAATATTATCTTTGCAGGAGTCATTTAATGTCATTTTAAAGTCCATTTTGTGAATTGAAAGGAAAGGAGATCACCCATGAACCCTCTTTGCTGGGTGCCGTATCTGCAATTCACAGATGTGAACACGTGGGGGCAGTGTCGTTTGCAGCCCTTCTGTGTTGGGAGCTCCTGGGGTCCCCTCAGATACCTGCCTGCTTTATCTTACAGGCACCTGTCTGCTTCACACATGCAGCAGTGGTTCATTAAATACAAGGCAACTTAATGTTTTGGATGACCCTAATGCTTTTGCCCCGTATAGCTGTATGCACTCTGCATGGCCTATGTACTATGTACCCCTGTCTGGAGATTCTGGGACTTCAGATTTCATAGACCAATCAAACATAGACCTGATACAGCTTGCTGATTGATTTTGTAATGCTCCCATGTCTTTGAATAACAGGGAGTGATGGGGGAGACCTGAAAGTTTGAAAGGTCATTGTCTCAGTGTTTAAATGTGTAAACGTGGCCAGCCCTGAAAAGCTGCCTAGTTTGCTTCTTTGTTTCTCAAATAGCTACTCAGACTTTGTCAAGGAAATAGACTTGATGGCCTGGAAGCAGTAGGGTTGCCATCTAGGGGGTCTTTGTACGGACCCTGGGGTCATGGTGGGGCCTCCCCATGAACCAACACCCCTCCCTCCACCAAGCCAGCCCGCTGACCTCTCTGTCCTTCATCTCCCTCCTCACAGAGACTTCCGCGAAGGAGGGGCTGCTCTTGTGGTGTCAGAGAAAGACGGCCCCTTACAAAAACGTCAACATCCAGAACTTCCACATAAGGTGAGTGGCCAGGGGCGGAGGGGCTCTTGCAGAGCATCAGCTGCTCCCCCAGGCCCCTTTGGCTGGGTTAGCCTCAGCTCCAGAACAGAGCAGGGGTCCTTGGGGAAGAAGCTGCTATCTCAGGGTGTGCCGCAAACCCTTTGATGTGGCTGCTTCTACGCACTTTGGGTCGACGCCCCAGCTGCTGGAGAGCTCCCCAAGGAGCGTGTCCTGTAGGTTCCAGCCTAGGGCACTGGAACAGAGCAGGAGGGACAAAGATCTTGGCGGAGAGGATAGTTGGATATGACAGGTGTGCAAACGTCCTGTGCCCCATAGAATCTTGACCCCAGAGCCTGGGATTGTGGCCAGAAGGAGTGTGCCTTCCCATCCTGTCTTCTCACTCCTGCTCCGAAGCACTGTGGGTTCACCTCTGGTACAAAGGGGGGGACCCCCCCGCCATCCTTGCTTAGAGCTTTACCCTTAGAGCCCGGCCCTACTCACCAGCTTGCCCCCCACCCTTCTCTCTCCCTTGGGCAGCTGGAAGGACGGCCTCGGCTTCTGTGCCTTGATCCACCGACACCGGCCTGAGCTGATTGACTATGGGAAGCTGCGGAAGGTATGTGTGCTTCCCTGACTTCTCGCTGCCAGAGCCCTCTTGCTGGGTCCCTGACGGAGGGTGGGGGTGAAGTGCAGGACTGGGCCCTTATTCTGAGGGTCCATGGCCATGGTAAGGTGGGGGGGGGGGTTGGTCTCCTTAGACTAGTCCAGGAGATAGCCTACAAGAGAAAGAGAAAAACACCTTCACTGTGAGGGCCGCTGGGGTACCCTCTGTGCACAGCACGCATGTACTTGCTGACCCGAACAGCTCACAGAATGTCCGAACCCCTGCAGCCTTTTGTTGGGGTATTGAAACACTAATCGGCATCTCCCCCTTCTATTTTCTGGGTTTTGTAAAGTGGATATAATATTTTAAATTTAAGCTGTTTGCATATTCTTAGAGGCATTTACCCCCGTCCGTGTCCAAGAGTTGCTGTTGGACGGTCCCCGCAGGTTCCTGTCACTGTTGACGTTTGGCTGGGTGATTTTCTTTTTTCTTTCTTTTTAAACTCTATTTATTTTGAGAGAAAGAGAGAGAGCACGAGCAGGGGAAGGGCAGAGAAAGAGAGAGAGAGAGAGAATTCCTCTGCACTGGCAGTGCAGAGCCTGACTCGGGACTTGAACCCACGAACTATGAGGTCATGATCTGAGCCGAAACCAAGAGTTGGACGCTCAACCGGCTGAGCCACCCAGGTGCCCCATGGGTGGGGGATTTTCTTTAGCTGCTTCTTGATTTCACTTAGGGTCTTGACATGAAGCTGGCGGATTTTCCTGAGCACACGTATGTGTTGTGGAGCAGACCAGGGCGTGGGAGCTGTGTTTCTAACCTCGAGGTGGTTCTGGTGTCTGGGCTGGCCAAGACCTTGGAGAGGCCTGTCTGGGACCACTCTGACCTCACTCACCAGCTTCCCTCTCAGCCCATCCCAGCACCAAGAGGCCACCCCTGGAGCCCTCCCCACACCCCCAGTTGATGATCTAGACCTTGGGTTGGAATGTCACCTGTCCATGTGTGTGAATGTCTTGACAAGGCAGCTGCTAGGAATGGCTCTTCTTGTATTTCTCCACTTGACCTTGACACTTGGAGAGCACAGTGTTCCGTGAAGACCCCCATCTGGCCTGTGCCCCCAGAAGTAAGGCTGGATGTTGCCGGTACGGGAGCTGCTCTGGGAACTCCAGGATGGTGTCAAGCCGTCCGTTTCCAGGGTGTCGGGGAGGAAAGGAGCAGACTCCCACCCCCTCCAGTTTCTCTAAGTCGGGCCAAAGCCTGAGGCTGGGCTCTTGGCCCACCCGCTGAAGGAGAGAAAGCCTCCCCGCTCTTGCACGTGGCTTTGGACAGCTACCCTCTTAATGGGTAGGAGGGTCCCTGCACTCTAAGTCAGCTGCCTTGCAAGGAAGAAAATCAGGTTGAGAACCCCCTAACTTACCTGAACGCTGTGTGGCCACATCAAATAGAGCTGAGGCGAGAAACCCTAGAAGCAGTGATTTTTTGCTTTAAGTGGCACGCTCACGTACTGGGGCGCCTGGGTGGTTCAGTCGGTTAAGCGTCCAACTTTGGCTCAGGTCATCATCTCACAGTTGGTGAGCTCGAGCTCCACGTTGGGCTCTGTGCCTCTCTCTCTCTCTCTCTCTCTCTCTCTCTCTCTCTCTTTCTGCCCCACCCCCACTCGTGCTCTATCTCTGTCTCTCAGTGAATAAACGTTAAAAAAAATATTTTTGAGAGGCATCATCACATACCTCCTTACTGTTTGCCTGATGTGCTTTGGTGACAAGCGTGCATGTATCCCTATGGCGGTGTGTGGGGTGACAGCCACTTAATCCAGAGCTGTTGGCCACCCCATACAAAGTGGGGTCCTGCTGGCTGTGACTATAGTCCCTTCCCCCATTCCACAGACTCCAGGAGCCTCAGCCGTTCCGGAGGTGAGGGTCTAGGGGCCTTGGTCTGATACCTAACCAGCCACCCACCCCCGTGTGTCTTTTCTTTTTTCCCTGTTTCACTGTGTCTCCCCTCTCCTTAATTCAGCAGCATCAGTAGAATCCAGCCCAAATCCTAGCACAGACCTGCTCCCACTGAAGTGTGGGTGCTTTCCAGAAAGCACAGGTTGCCAGAGCCAGCTGGCATTGGGACACAGGGGAGAGCCATGGGCTCTTGACTGGGAAGCTCTTCCTGCTGTGGCCTTAGGTGGGCACGGGGGCCTGGCGGTCCCTGGGAATCGAGTGGGGCAGGCGGGTGTGCAGGACTGCTTGAGGCCCTGGACGGAAGTGACTTTCACTGCTTGGCAGTGGTTTTTAAATCATTCTGGAAGCTGTCAGAAGCTTTCCCAGAAGGACTCCACCTTCTCTATTTTAAGCAGTTTCTTCCTGAAAGTATCTGGAGTGAATGTATTGATTTCTTTGTAACTTTGTGATTTTCATCGTAGCAAATGGGGAAACGGGGTCCCGGGCTGACAAAACCAGGGGGCACCGAGACATGGAGGGGGGAGGGTCAGCAAGGAGCTCCCATCACTGGGTTGTGTGTTTTCCCACGTCAAAAAAAAAAAAAATTATTTTAATTGTGGTAAAACGTATATAACATAAAACGTAACATACGTAAAAACGCAGAACACGTATAATCTAAAAGCTTTAACTGAGTCGAGGCGTATGGGGTGGTGACAGTGCATTCACCTGACTGTGCCACCATCACTCTCTGCCTCCAGGGCTCTCTCCATCTTGCACAACTCCAGCTCGGAACCCGCTAAACCATCACTCGCCCCTCCCCCTCCCCCAGCCTCTACCTTCTGACTCTATGAATCTGACTCTAGATGCCTCGTGTAAGTGGCATCGTACGGTATTTGTGTCTGGCTCGTTTCACTTCGCGCGATGTGTTCAAGGTTCACCCTGCTTGTGCCGTGTGTCAGAACTTCCTTCCTTCCTTTTTCAGGCGGAGTAAGAGTCCATTGTATGGATCGCACAGTTGGTTTATCTCTTCATGTGCCAGTGGGCTTTTGTGTTATTTCCACCGTTTAGCTCTTGTGAATAATGCTGCTGTGAATCCGGGGGCACGCACATCTGCTTGAGTCCCCGCTTTCAATTCTTCGGGAGATATGCCCAGAAGTGGGCCTGCTGGGTTACCAGGATCCCTGTGCTTCACTTCTGGAGGACACTGTGTTCCACAGGGGCCGCACCATTATATATTCCCACCAGCAGTGCCCACGGGTTCTGACTTCTCCGCGTCCTCGCCAGTCCCCAGTCAGTTTTCTGGATGTGGCGGCAGAAGCCAGAATAGTCAAAGGTTGTGGCTGTGCGAAGGTGCCCTCAGATTTTGTGGAATGGGAGCGCCGGAGGGGCTTGGGGGAGCCTAGTCCAACTCTTGAAAAACAGCTGGGGAAGCTGAGGTCGGGTTACGTACCAGTCCCGCCGGCTGGTGGCAGAACTGAAGCCAGGAGCCAAGAAGGACGATGCCCAGGCCAGCACTCTGCTCGCAGCGTGTAGTTCCTAGCAGTGCTTTCTTGGGCTGTAGGCCAGTATTCTCCATCCCGTTTCTTTTTCTAAATTTTTTTTTTAATGTTTACTTATTTTTGAGACAGAGAGAGACAGAGCATGAACGGGGGAGGGGCAGAGAGAGAGGGAGACACGGAATCGGAAGCAGGCTCCAGGCTCCGGGCCATCAGCCCAGAGCCCGACGCGGGGCTCGAACTCACGAACCGTGAGATCGTGACCTGAGCTGAAGTCGGACGCTCAACCGACTGAGCCACCCAGGCGCCCCTCTCCATCCCGTTTCTGGCAAACTGAGGCTTGATGGGGAAAGATGGCATTTTAACCGCCCACACAACAAGCCCTGGAGGTGAAGCAAGCCTTGTACACACAGAGCTGGACCTTGAGGACCACACCTTGGGGGAGAGAGGACTGCAGAAGTCCCCTCTGCCCCCCAGTCTTTGGTCACCTGCATGGGGGTAACCAGTGACTTCTTGGGCCTCTCACATGCCTTCGTCCTCGTCTCCCTCTAGGATGACCCACTCACAAATCTGAACACAGCCTTTGATGTGGCAGAGAAGTACCTAGACATCCCCAAGATGCTGGATGCTGAAGGTAAAAGGCGTCTCTGTCTGTGCCTCTGGCCCTTTTCTCACCCGGGAAGGGTGGGGCCCGGCAGCCCGAGGTGGGAAGAGAAGAGGTCTGGTCTGTGGACCTCATCTGGGGAGCCTGGGGGTCACCTGCCGCCGGGGATTCCTCGGTTCCCTGGGGTTTGGAGGGGAGGCTAGCTGGTGCTGAGAAGGGCTTTGAGGCCGTTTCTGCATCAGCTGCCTAAAGATGGTTCTCCTCTCTGTCTTGGAGTTGAGGTGGAGGGTGCTGGGGTGGGGCACCGGGTTCCTCTGTTGTTGTAGCCAAGGGAAAAAATCTCTCCCCTTACCCTCTTAGGCTGCCCAGCTGGGATCCTGCACATTAGACTGGCAAAAGACATATTAACAGGAGAGAAGCAAACAGAGGTCTCTTAACAAGTGCATCGTGTGTACACACATGAGAGCTCTCGGTGATGAGTCCTTCATGGGGTGGTTAGGAGTTTGGGGTCTATATCCATACCCAACTTATAGGGGAAATGGAGGGGACAACTGGCATTTATAGGAAAACAAGTGACTTTTTAGAAAGATGAATGGGCCCTTAGGAGAATGGGAGGGAGAGGTGATAGTTTGTGACAATGTGTGTCTGGGGCCATTTTCAAATATATGCAAAAGCAGGGGGATAGTGTAGGAACTTCCATTTACCCAGCATATAGATAAAACAATTAGATTTTGTCACTTTTTTTCCCTTTTGTTTTCTTCATTGGAATATTATCAAATAAATCCCAGACATCACAGCATTTCACCACCACATACCTTAAAAATATTCTTACGTAACCATAAAACAAATGTCATGCCTAGGAAGGCGACTGTAAATCCTTGCTATATTGACTGCCTAATTCAAAATCAAATTTCCCCAATTGTTTCTTTTTAGAGTTTTATTATTTTGTTTTTTATTTTTTTTTTTTTAATTTTTGAGAGAGAGAGACACAGCACAAGCAGGGCAGCGAGAGAGGGAGACACAGAATCTGAAGCAGGCTCCAAGCTCTGAGCTATCAGCACAGAGCCCGACGTGGGGCTCGAACTCCTGAACAGTGAGATCATGACCTGAGCTAAAGTCAGATGCTTAAGGTACTGAGCCACCCGGGCACCCCTTAGTTTTTTTTTTTTTGTTTTGTTTTGTTTTGTTTTTTTTAAGCAGCTTTTTAAATAAAAGATACTTTAGAATTCCCTTAAAAATCATATTTATGTAGGGCACCTGGGTGGCTCAGTTGGTTAAGTGTCCAACTCCTTTTTTTAATTTCAAGTTTATTTTATTTATTTTGAGAAGGAGAGAGTACAAGAGGGACAGAGAGAGAGGGAGAGAGAGAGAATTCGAAGCAGGCTCCACACTGTCAGCACGGAGCCAGATGCAGGGCTCAAACTCACGGACCGTGAGATCATGACCTGAGCCAAAGTCGGACGCTTAACTGACTGAGCCACCCAGGCGCCCCTTGAGTTGGTTTGTTTTAACCAGGATCCAGATAAGGTCTGCACATGGCGTTTAGTTCTATTTCTTATGTCTTTTCCAATCTGTAGTACTTCCCTCCTTCCTTCATCCCTTTTTTATTCCTGCCGTGAAACTTGTTGCACAGACGGGGCCAGCTGCTCATGGAATGTTCCTCATTCTGGGTTTGTTGTTTGCTTCCTTGGGTCACTGTTTCTCTCCTCCCTCTACCTCTCATGTTCCTGTAAGCGGAAAGAAGCTGAGTCCAGAAGCTGGTGAGATTCAGGCTCAGCCTGTGGCCCAGAAGACTTGGTGATTCTGCAAGCTTCTTTCCGCATCACATCAGGAAGTGCATCATGTGTTCGCCAGCTGGCTTTTAACTCCAGATTTTTCTTGACAGACATCGTCGGAACCGCCCGACCGGATGAGAAGGCCATCATGACTTACGTGTCCAGCTTCTACCATGCCTTCTCCGGAGCCCAGAAGGTACCCGCCCCCCCTTCCCCTCCTTCCTTGTGCAGCACACCTCGGGCCGGGACCCAAACCATGCGCCCCCGCCCCCGCCGCCTCTCCCTGGCAGCAGGGTCTGGATGGCGCGTCTCTCTGGTAGAGTTAGCTCCCGGTGCCAACGCGGCGTGCTGCTCTCGCTCGGCTCCTCTCCCGCCCTGCCCCTCTGTTCCTCTTCTCCTCTTCCCCTGCAGTCTCTGAGAGGACTGGGCTCGAGCTCGCCTTCTGGGGCCCAGAGGGCTGGCTTGAGCAGGAAGAGCTGCATGTGTGGAATCAGCCTGGGGGTTCTGGACTCCTGGAAGCTGCAGTAGGCAGCAGTCCCTCCGCGCCCACCTTTGTTGAAGCCACAGGCTTTTTAACACAGCAGCCGGGCTTCCCTTAGGGAGGCATCTCCTGTCCTCACTGACCTGTTTTGCAAAGGTGTCGTGAAGCCCCCACCTTTCTCCCACTCATGGGCATGATGTAGCAAATCTGTCCACAGCTTTTTTTTCGGGCCCTGATGCCTTCTGTATCCTGCCGGGGACCCACATGTGGGGTCACGCTGCATGCTGTATTTACAGACATAAGCACAGCCCCTTGGAGGGGGATGGGAGGAGGTGGGCCTCTGTGAGCCCCCTTCAAATGTCCCGGCCCAGTTTTGCTCAGGGAGGCCTGAGTTTAAAGTCCAGTTGTGCGGGTTGCACACTGCACAAGGGTACCACAACTAAAGAGCGCTGAATATTTTTGTTACCAGGCTTAGCTCAGGCAGCAGAAGCCTCTCTCCCAGACCCCACTCACAGGCAGGACCCTGGAAACACAACATGCAGGTTGACAGGACCACAGGCTGGGCCTTCACGGTGTCGAGCCGTGGACCTGTCACATCAGGTTGGATGTGCTCAGGCCAATTTCCCACCCTCCGCATGGAGTCTCAGTGACCTGTCTCCAAATGCATGATGGGGGCGCTCCCCCCTCCCACCTCTGCCCAGCCTTCCCCTCTGCTCTCTCTCTCCCTTTCCTGTCTCAGCCTGTGCCCTCCACCTCCTCACCCTTCTCTCCTCCCACCATCTCATTTCGTCTCTCTCTGCCCGTTCCCTCATCTGCTGTCTGTGCGTCTGTCTTGCATTCTCCCTGTCCGCCACGGCTGTTTGGGTTTATTCTGTGCTGCTGCTCCCTTTCTACTCTCAACCTCTTCTCCTTCTCTGTGCAGATGTGTAGGCACGCTAAGGATGGGAAGGCCATGTGACCTAATGTTTCATGTCACTGCCACGCCTTCTTGGGTGCGCAGAAGGTGAGCTCTCCCTCGGCCTCGCCCGCTCTCCCTGCCGCCCTCCGCCCACCTCTTCCTTCCTCCCTGGATGCTCCGGCAGCAGTCCGTGGGGCTGCAGCCCCTCCTCCTCTTGTAGGAGGGCAGGGTGCTCTCTGAACCTTGGCCGGTTGAAGACGCCAGAGAGCCCCAGCCTCTGGATGGCCCCTTGTGTCTCTGACCATGCACACTGGGCTTAGTGGAGGTCACAGATGGGAAAGAAGCTCGTGGTCTCAGCTCCTTCCCTGGACCCTGAGTCAAGAGCCCTTATCCCAAGCGATATGGCTCTGGGCTATGCTTCCTAACTATTCCCTTAAACATTCAGGACCCCTTCATTTTCTCTCCTTCCCGCTCAGTCACAACCATCCTTTCAAATTACCCAGCAGACAGGGCAGGGAGAAGCCTTCCTGCCTTCTCCCTGGTGTCCAGGCCAGAGGCTCAGAGCCCTTCCCAACCAGGCCTGCCGTGGACGTGGTGCAGGTTGCGCACTCCACAAGCCTGCCGTGTGTGCACCATAGACCATGGAGATTTGGATATTTGTTACCGAAGGAATCCTGCAGATGGCAGTAACAATATTCTCTAACAGATCAGTATGACAGTTTTCCAATAGGAATGCCTTGGGAAGAGGTGCCTTTAAAAAGTTACACAGAGGCACGTGGGCTTGTAGCAACCCCGTCCCCTGGCTGGACGGGCGCCAGAACCCTCCTCGCCTTCCTTGCAGGCCTCACTGGCACTGAGACGGGAGAGCTGCCCCTCGTGGAGGCTTCCGTGACTCACAGGTGTCCTAGCCCTCCCAGGATCCCCAGCCCCCTCCAACCTCCTCTCTGGCCTGCCTCTTGCTTCCTCCTGTTTCCCTCTGTCCCACCTCTGCTGCTGCTCTCTCGTCAACTTCTTCTGGCCCCTCTGAGCCCCCACCTGTCAGCCAGGTTGTGAGCAGCATCTGTCCCCTTCCTTGGTGGGCCCCCCCCCAGCCCTGATAACCACAGAGGGCCTGCTTGCCCGCCTCTGTAGCTAGACTGCTCTCTGCTCTGGGGTTTTCCAGCTCCTCCTCTCTGTCCCCTGCCCCTCCAGGGGTCTTCTCCTGGGCTTCATGCCTGCCGACACTGGCCTTCCCTGTGTCCTGGCTGATGATAATGCTCGGACGGGAGTGTGTGCATGCGTGTGCAAGAGTGTGTGCACGTGCGTGTGCGTATGTGCGTGTGCATTAGCAGCCTGCTTTTCTCCCTCCCAGATCTCATACCACCTCTCCCCACGCCCCTCTTCCCTCCCTCTCATCCTTGTTGCAACCATTTCACACTCCTTTTGTCCACATTCGAGGACAAGGTCACCAGTGTGGGGCTGGGGGCGGGGGGGCGGTGGCGTTCACCTCATGTCCTGGGTCGGGGGCCTCTCCTAGAGTTGCCCGTAACCACTTCTAAGGATTCAGGCAACTGCTTAGAAAGCCAAGCAGACCAGGGGGAGGGGAAGCTTCCTCCTCTCCTTGGAAGAAGGACGATTCATTCCGACTCACACACTCTTCGTGTCTTGACTGTCTCCGTGTCTGATGCCAGTGGGGGGCCATATTCTGAAACCCATGCTCAGTACATACATGCATGCACCATACGATGGTATACACATGCATGCACACGCGTGCACACGTGTACACGCGTGTGCATGCGTGTGCGCGCGCGTGTGGCCGTCCACGCACCCACACAGGGGCGCGTCGTTGGTTTTCCTTGTCAGGTGAGGACTGACTTCTGTTTGACATGTTGGTTTGGGTTCTGGCTCTTTCTCAGTTTTCCTTTGCCCTCCTCGTCCCCCTCGTCGATTCAGAATCAACAGAAAGCACCAGATTTTTGTTTATGTAGTTTGTGCCTTAAAGTTCACGGTCTATTGGGAATGTTGGAGAAACAGCCATTTAAAGCACAGGCTAGATCTGCTGCAGGTGTTTCTGGATGCTTTCAGGAGTAGATGGTGACGTTTGCATCTCTTCGTTTGGCCCCTTGCTTGCTTTTGTCACATCGTGAATCTCCTAAGGGAAGGAAACAGCCATTTGTGCCCTTGAAGGATTATGGTCCATCTGGGGAAACCCTGAAACCTGGAAGCCAGCAATGGCTGTGGTCTAGTCAGTGCCTGCTGTGCTGTGGGCCTGAGCAGGGGACGGGCTGGGGGGGAGGGCCACGGGGCTGCACCACACGGAGGCTTTCTTGAACAGGAGGCACCTGGTCTTGGGGGTCTTAAGGGTGGAGTAGGGGTCCTCAAGTGAAAGTGCGGCAAAGATCAGGAAGGCGGTCACAGCTTGTGTGACAGCTTTGAGATGTCACAGGTCAGCCTGTGAGGGGACAGCGAGTTAGCCCTGGTCCTCTGCCTGGGGTGAGGAGCACAGGGGGAGCCAGAGACGGGGAGCAGGCTTTGCCTGTGGGCCTGGCTGGCAGGGGTACTGGGGCTGGGTGCTGACTTAGGCACAGGGAGAGGCTAGGCTGTGGGAGGAAGGAAATGGGCAATTCTAGATAGATTTGGGAAATTCTCGACTAAAAAGGTCACAGATGACATTTTTGTGGCATTCATGTGAATCTGTGGCTTGTGGGTGGCAGAGCCATTGTGCGTCATTTGGCCACATTTGGGTGTTAGATGTTACCTTAATTAACTACCTTGTACCAGCGAGTTCGATGCTGCGTGTTAGCACAGCAGTGTGGCTCTGGGATAGCAGAGTTTCAGTTGGGATAGCTAAGTTATTAGTACTCCAGGAATAAGAGTCCATAACCTAAAAAAAAAGTTACTAATATAAAGCCAAACAGATTGTTCTGTGTTAAGCTGTATAATAATATAACTTAAAGTAAGTCATGAAAATATAAACCAAGGGAAGGCAAATGCAGATTTCTAGAAGTCTCCCTTTTGTGTGTGTGTGTTTAGAAGTAATCCTTTTGCCTTAGTGTTGCAAAATATTTTCTCAGCCCATTTACGATATTTACGCTTACACCCCTTGTGCAAATTCTGCCAACATCAGAAAGGCCTGGGCACTCTGGTTTTGCTTCTTGGGTTCCGGAACAGCCCATCTCCTCTTGCAGGAACTGCCCGAGGTCAGGACTCTCCTACGGTTGTTTTTCTGATGGCGTTTCAATTTCTGTTTCTCTCAGAGAATGAATCTTTCCTCCCCTAGAACAAATCTCTCCTTTGGCAGTCTCTTTAGGAGCTGGTGGTGCTAAGTACCTCTCTCCTAAATCCCTCATGGTGATGGCGTTCTTGTGGCCACGGAAGAAACAGTTTCTAGAAAACTAGAAAGTGGGATGCTAGGGTAAGCCTGGGTCCCACGCTAAGAGTCCCGCTTGCCTTCCACCCCAGGGATTATGTCCTTCAGGCCTTACCACATTGGTCTTTCTTGCGTGGTCTCTGTGACCTCCTGGGCTGGTGGTGGTGGATGACTGAACCCTTCTTTGTAAAGGGACCTTGTAAAGGGTGAGACTGCCAGCCTGGGGGAGGGAGTTAAGCAGTGAGTGAAAGAGATGGGTCAAGGTCTTGAGGTTTCTACTTTTTTTTTTTTCCCCCTAACATTAAATCTGGGTTCCAGGAGTCTGCTTCCTTCCTAAAGGTAACCGTGGAAGCTGGGCTGCTCCCTCGAGGGCAGAGGCAATCCAGATGGAGTTTGCAGACAGCTCTCTTAAGGAAAGCTCTCTTGTTCCATGATGCCCGTGCTTTCTTTCCAAAAACAGATTTCCTGGTTATAATGAGTGGTTTTCTCAGTCTCTGCTGGTGAAGCCACCTAGGAGTGGGGCAGGCTGAGCCGCAAGCTTGGGAAAGAGGTGGGTCTCTGCAAAAAGTCCCCAGGTGGCCCACTTGGGAACGTCCCCCAGACGGCATCCAAAAGGAGCCTCTGTTGATCCTAGAACAGTCCGTCAACAGGCTCTGCGGATGGGCGAGGCTCCTGAGGCTCAATGGATTATCTCCTAAAATCCCATGAACGCAGGCCTCACTCAGTCTGCCAGTTTGACCGACTGACACACAAGTCAAAGCTTATGACCACTGAGCCCAGGATTTCAAGATGCATCGGGGTAACGAGGCCAAGGTTACCATGAGACATCACGGTGGCAGCTGCTTCTTGCCTATGATGCGTGGCCACCTCTGATTCTTACCCACTTGGTCAGCATGCTGGGCATAGCTTACTTATGTCAGCACAGAGACCACTGGCCCCTGTGTCCCCTTCCCCGGCCTTCACAGGAAGTGGCCCTGGTCGCTTCAGGCAGATTGCTACCCCCAGCCCTCTTCATGGGGCACATTGGCATGTTTCCCATGACCTTGCTCTTTCCAAGGGCCCCACGTCTTCTGGCACAGTCTCCAGGAAAGAATATCTCTCCTTGTCACCTTTTGGTATTCCCTGTGGTTACTTGTTGGTTCTTAAGAGGAAGGACAATCAATCAAGAGCTCCATGGAAGAAATGGTCATGGCATCTCCAGGGCAGAGTTAGGTCACAGGGCAGGGGGGTGAAGGTCTAAGGATGTGACTCCTTGCCTCAGTTTCTTGAGACCCAAGACTCAAAGTGCCCATCTTGGAGGCCCTCTAGCCATTCCCAGTTGCCTGGTGGAGGCCTACCTGCTCTAACACCTTGCCTGGGGCGGGGGGTGTGATCTCCTGACTTTGAGTTTGAAAAGACCTTTATGCTGACCTCATTCTGCACACCCCCCCATCCCAGCAGCCACTCCCAATCACGGGATTTGGTGGCTGTGTATCCTATTTGAAAAGTTTTGCAAAGAAAAAACATTTACATTTTAATTACTCCTTCTCAGTTCAAAGCACCCTCATTCTCAGGAAGTTCTTCTTCATGCCTAGCCTCAGTTTATCTTGCTGCAGTCAAAACCCATTTTGCCTTGTTCATCAACCAGTTGTGAGGTCCCATCTTTCTATCCCCTAAACCCTTGTCATCTGTAGGCTCACCCTTCTCTAATAGGCATTATCTGCTCCTACTCCCAGGCTGTCTTTCTATCCCAGGACCCCAAAAAGGCTTTGAGTTCCCCTCCCCTTGGAGTTGGGTTATGATGTACACAAGAAAACAGATGAATTTAAAGGTTACCTGAGCTCCTGGTGGTTTAGGACCACCTGGCCGTTGCTGGTGTTAAGTCCATGGTGCCTTCCATGGCCCAAGAAGGTGGTGTCCCTGGAGTTTCCGGGCCTTTGCATCTGATTTCCTTTCAGTCCTCTTGTTGCCGAAACCTGCGTCCTGTGTCTGTTTGCCCGGCACTCACTGAGCATGAGGCCTCCGCTTTCCCAGAGGTGCCAGTGCCCAGCTTTCTGGACATTGTGTGCATGCTGGCTTGATCCTGAAGTCTTGTCCTTCATGCAGTAGGGGTCCCTGAGTCTTCTCTAATGTTCTTTGGGCTTTGAGCCAGGAGCAGATTCTGTAGGCCCCTTTGTTTCTCAGTCAGCACCTTATTCTGGACTCCCAGGTTTGAATACCTGCATCTCCTAAGATCCTGGCAAATCCAACCTGAGAGCCTGAGCCTTGGGGACCCCAGGGCCTCCACTTGGGATTGTAGGGAATTTTTCTGCCCTCTTTACCTGAGCTGACCGTTTTGACTGTATCAGTCATCACATTAGTTACTTCCCAACGTGCATGGTTGGCCTCAAACTCTGGTCCTTCTCCAAGGGCCCCGGTTCAGCCACCAAGATCTCTCTTCAGGCTCACTTGACCTGTGGGACCCGGCATGGGCTGGCAGAGGATGAGGAGGAGGATGTGGACTGAAAGCCTCAGGGGCTGACTTCCTGCCGGTAGAGCTGCAGGGCGGGAGCTCCTGCTGCCCAGGGCTGACCGTGACACCCACGCCCTTTCTTGTTGCCAGGCGGAGACAGCAGCCAATCGCATCTGCAAGGTGTTGGCCGTCAACCAGGAGAACGAGCAGCTTATGGAAGACTATGAGAAGCTGGCCAGCGATGTGGGTACCTCTTGAGTTCCCCCAGCTGGCTCCGGCAGGGCTCTGCTACCCCACCCCGGGAGAAGAGGGAGCCCCCAGAGCCTGTACCTCCAGACCCATCCCTGGGGTACAGTCCCAGGCTGGGCGTAGTCCTTGGTCCCAGCACAGCTGACCCAGGGCAGAGGTGGGGCTCATCTCTGGGCTCCAGAAAGCCGAGTCGTAGGCTGTGTTTCTTGCCAACAAACAGTGAGCCCGGGAAACTTTTCACCTCTCTGGGTCTTGGGTTTTTTCCCCTTGCCGAGTGAGAGCTAAGCCAAGGGATCTCAAGGGCCTTTCTAGCCTGGTATACTGTTGTTCTGTGAGTCGCTTGGCCTAGAAAAACAGTATGCCTGGTTCTGAGAGGATGTGATCTGGAGATGGGATCAGTGCTGCCTCAGGCTCGCTAAGCAGCTGGGCCCACCCAGGGGACAGGAGGAGACAGGGCTGGGTTTGCTGTTCTGCCGTTGACTATATTTGGGGTAGGGCTCCACTTGCTTAAAAGAATTCAGCCTTCTGAACAGCTCAGCCCAGCCTCTTGATGGATCTGCCATCCAGCATAGTAAGAACGCAGGTACCAGGTGTAAGCCCAGCTCTGCCATTCCAGCTTGGTCACCTTGGCAAGTCACATAACCTCACGGCGCCTCGGTTTACCTCTCTGTAACCTGGGGCAGGAGTCACAGCACAGAACCCCATGGGATCCCAATCCACATTCCGATGAGTCCGTCTGGGGGACACGCTGGCACCTTGCAGGTGCTCGTTCTGTTTCCTGTCACCCATTCCACTCCTCCTCCACTTTCTCCACCGTCATCACCTCATCCAGGCTGTTCCCTGCCTGTGCCCCAGAAGCCAGCCTCTTCCTTTTTGAGTCAGAGGCCCACATTCTAGAATTCTAGATCCCGGGTGACAAGGGCCTCAGGAAGCGGCTGTTATGGTTGTTACCTCCCCGGGACAGAGGACACCGAGGCCCAGCCAGCTGGTGGGGCTGGACCCAGAGCTCGGGTCTCCTCCTGGTCTGGCTGACTTCCTCCCAGGTCCACGGTTCTTCCTTGGGCAGAGCTTGAGTTAGCCCCTTCCCCTGGCAGAGAAGAGGCTGGTGGCCAGGCTGCATGAAGCCTGCGGCTCTCCTGGAGCCTGGCCTCTACTGCCGGGGAGTGGTAGCTGAGACGGGACATGCTGTCAGGAGAGACATCCCCCGGCTCCCCCTGTCAGGGAAGGGGCCCAAAGGCCGTAGGAGGGAAGGGAGGCAGCCCCGGGCCCCCCTCCCAGCATCCTCATGCCCTCCGCGTGCCCCTCCCCCCAGCTGCTGGAGTGGATCCGCCGCACCATCCCGTGGCTGGAGAACCGGGCGCCGGAGAACACCATGCACGCCATGCAGCAGAAGCTGGAGGACTTCCGGGACTACCGGCGTCTGCACAAGCCACCCAAGGTGCAGGAGAAGTGCCAGCTGGAGATCAACTTCAACACACTGCAGACCAAGCTGCGCCTCAGCAACCGGCCCGCCTTCATGCCCTCCGAGGGCAGGATGGTCTCGGTGAGCGCCCGGGAGCCGGAGCTGCTCCCGGCCGAATGCGGCACTGTGGGCGGGACAGGGCGGGACGGGCTTCCTTCCACCTGCATACGCTGTTCCAGAAATCGTTTCTCCCTTCCAGATTGCCACCCAGACTCAAGCCCCCTGTCTCCTGACCATCCCAGGTCAGACCTGTCCTGCCAGACCCCTGAATATCCACCCGGGCCTCCCAGCACCCCCTCCCCCCACCTTAGAAAAGCATCTCTGCAAACTAAGTGCTTCTTGACATATTGAACCAAAGAGGGCATAATTCAGTAGCAATTAGGGTGATTTTTTACTTTTTTAAACATTTTATTACTTTATTTATTTGAGAGAGAGAGAGGGATGTGAGCATGAGCAGGGGAGGGGCAGAGAGAGAGAGACAAGGGGAGAAAGAATCATAAGCAGGCTCCACTCTTAAGTGCCAAGCTGACCCGGGGCTCGAGCCCACGACCTTGGGATCATGACCTGAGCCCAAACCAAGAGTCAGATTCTCAACCAACTGAGCCACCCAGGTGCCCCTCTGTAAAATCTTTTTTAAGCACTTAAAAAAAAATGTGTTACCTTAAACAAGTAATGAGTTGGTGGTGGTTTTTTTTTTTTGGTTTTTTTTGGTAGGATATTTCAAAGATACAAATCTGCTAAATACAGAAAATAGAAATTACTCATAATCTTAACTATCCAATATCAACTTAAAAATGTTTTTTGAAATAAAGTGTTTTTTGGAAAAGATTCTTTTAGTCTATGTAAATAGGATTTTTTTTTAAATGTATTTATTTTGAGAGATAAAGAGTACAAGTGGAGGGAGGGGCAGAGAAAGAGAGGAGGGAGAATCCCAAGCAGGCTCTGGGTCATCAGCACGGAGCCGATGTGGGGCTTAATCTCACAAATCCCTTGAGATCATGACCTGAGCCGAAGTCAGAAGACACTTGGGGCGCCTGGGTGGCTCAGTCAGTTAACTGTCCAGTTCTTGATTTCAGCTCAGGTCATGATCTCATGGTTTGCGAGCCCTGCATCTGGCTCCACACTGACAGTGTGGAGTCTGCTTGGGATTCTCTCTCTCTCCCTCTCTCTCTGTCCTTCTTGCACTGTCTCTGTCTCAAAAAGAAATAAAATAAACTTGGAAAAAAAAAAAGGAGTTGGACACTTAACGAAGTGAGCCACCCAGGTGCCCTACGTAAATATGATTTTTAAGGGAATTCTAAAGCATGTTTTACTTAATAAGCTGCTTAAAAAAAAAAAAAAAAACAAAAAAAAACTAAGGGGTGCCTGGGTGGCTCAGTAGCTTAAGCATCCAACTTTAGCTCAGGTCATGATCTCACTGTTCACGAGTTCAAGCCCCATGTCGGGCTCTGTGCTGACAGCTCAGAGCCTGGAGCCTGCTTCAGATTGTGTGTGTGTGTCTCTTTCTCTGCCCCTCCCCGCTTGTGTTCTCTCTCTCTCTCTCCCTCTCTCTCACAAAAGTAAATAAAGCATTAAAAAATATTTTAAAAACCCAACTAAAATGATATTGTGAATGGCTTTCCAAGTTGTTAAATTATCTTCATTTATGTTACTTATGTTATTTCCGCTTCCTTCTTGCCCTCTCTCAGACTCAGGGAGAAATGTTATGAGACAGACAAACATGCAAAAGAAAATTTAAAAACCCACCAAGATAGAGCTTTTGGCCTTCAAAATGAGAAATCATGAGAAGGCATGGACATAAAAGGGAAGGGCAGGGAACGGCCAAGCCAGCAAACAGCATTGGAAGCCGGCAGGATCCCAGGGAATCTGGAGGAAAGAAATAGGCCCTTTCCATTGTGTATGCACTTTGGAAAATTGCAGTCTTTTTATAGATTCCAGGCTGCATCTGCAGCTTTTAGGTGGCCAGAGCCTCAGCTGACCAGAGGGTGTTCTGTGCGAGTTAGAAGTGCCCCCTCTGGGTAGATGCGGCCTGTCCCCTGGGCCCCAGGTGGCGGGCAGGCTGGCTTCAGCCCACATGTGCCCAGCGGGCACGCTTGTGCTAATTGTAGAGACGACCCGGTGGGTGGCTCCCTGCCTGAAGGGCTGTGGGTTGTACTCAGCAGCCGTCACTGTCCTCAGGTGCATGGCCAGCTCGCCCAGGCCAGGGTCCCTGCAGGCTCCAGGCTACTGCCCAGAGCCCATGAACAGATCCAGAAATGTGGGGAGGCCGTGAGGTTCCCATGCCTGCTTGCTTCATTCAGTTATTGTTCTTTGCCACTGGCTGGCCCTCCAGCCTCTTTGATGGGCCAGAATCCTGGGTCACAGAGGGCCTTGGGCTCTTCACAGGGCTGCACACCCACAGCCCAATAGCTGGGTGGCCCACGTGGACTTGGGCCTCACTCCCTGCCCGGGAGGCCTGGTGTCCGGAAGCCCAGGTTGACACCAGCAGAGGGCTGGGTGGGTACAACTGAGATGGGAAAGGGGCTTCTTCCAGAAGGCTTGGGGCAGCTCTGCAGGTCTTGGGGGCCAGGTGGGGCTGACCCCATGCCTCTCATCCCTACAGGACATCAACAATGCCTGGGGCTGCCTAGAGCAGGCAGAGAAGGGCTATGAGGAGTGGCTGCTGAACGAGATCCGGAGGCTGGAGCGGCTCGACCACCTGGCAGAGAAATTCCGGCAGAAAGCCTCCATCCACGAGGCCTGGACGGACGGTAAGGCCAGCCTGACCTCCTGCCTCCGGGAGGGTTCTGACCCTCGTGCTCCGCTGACTGAACTGCCAGGCCACGACTCCTTTCTCTCCTGCTCTTTGGTTTGTTCTGCCTTGTGTCTTACTGGTTGCTCGATGTTAGACAAGTTCATCAGCCCTTTGGTTGCCTCAGTTTCCTCGTCTGCAAAGTGGGGATAATCAGAGTATCAACTTCATAGGTTTATGAGAATTGGATGGATTACTACATCTGAAGCATCGAGAAGAGTTCCTGGCATGGTACGATGCTGTGTATGTGTAATTTGTTGATGGTTCTTGTCACCGTGATGATTTCTTCTTCCCTGAGTCCGTTAGGTTGGGGTTCGAATCCCGACTCTACCACCTAGAAGCAGAGTACATTTGGACCAGCAACTTCTGTAACATGCAGATGATCGTGTGTCCTCTCCTGTGTTAGCTTCCTAGGGCCACCAGAACAAATGACCACACACTGGCTGGCTTAACAGAAACGTGTTCTCTCACAGGTCAGGAGGGGTTCTAAGGGAAAGCGTCGGCAGAATTGATGCCTTCTGGAGGCTCTGAGCCGGAGGCCATCTGTGCTGCTTCCTGGCGTCTGGGGTTGCTGGCCATCCTTGGTGTCACTGACTTAGTTCAGTCCCTGTCTCCGTCCCCATGTGGCTGCTTCTACGTCTCAGTGACAGAATTTCTCTTTCCTTTGCTAATAAAGACACCAGTCATTGGATTATTCGCCTCCCTAATCTCATATGACCTCATCTTAACTAATTGCATCTACAAAGACCCTGTTTTCTTTTTCCTTTTTTTTTTTTTTTTTTCTAATGCTTATTTATTTATTTTTGAGGGGGGTGGGAAGGGACAGAGAGAGGAAGAGAGAGAATCCCAGGCAGGCTCTGCACTCTCAGCACAGAGCCCGATGTGGGGCTCAAACTCACAAACATTGAGGTCATGACCTGAGCCGAAATCCAGAGTCAGACGCTTAACCCGACTGAGCCACCCAGGTGCCCTGAGACTTTATTTTCAAATAAGCCCAGATTCTGAGGTTCTGGGTTGACATGAGTTTTGGGGGACACTGTTCAACTCAGCATACCACCTCGTAGGATCGTTGGAGGCATAAGTATCACAAGTACCTTTTATGCTTAGATTAGTGCATGGCACGTAGAATGTACTCAGTAAATGGTAGCCCTGGATATTCTTCCTCCACTGCCTTCTGGCCCCCAATTATAGTGACCTAGAGCCTTTTCCCTGTTAGCACAAGTGTGTTTCCATTACTCCAACTCAGAGGCATTTGGGGCCATGTCTGGTGTTTGCTTGTTGACGGCCGAAGTTAACTCCAAAGAGAGAGAATCACACGTGGAATCGTCTTTTCCTCAGAACCTGGGCCAGGGCTGGAGAAGAATCCACGCCACCCGCCTCCTAGGGTTCTGCAGCCACTTCGGCTGGAGCCCCTGCAGCAGATCCTATTGGCTGCTGGGGCACAATGTCCCCAGACTCCCCCATTGGGCTCCATTGGGCTCCTCCGATCTCAGGCTGGAGACGATTAGGGACAGCCGTACGCTGTGGCCACTCAGGGGCCGCCCGGCTTGGTAGGAGACGGGAGTGTGCTTGACTCAGCCTGAGGAGGTTGGGTTTCGCTCCATGTTGTAAGAACGCTAGGATGTGAGGTCGCTGCCCACCCCCCCCCCGCCCCCGCACACATGCGCGAAGTTTTTTATGTAGGTACGGATGGTGCAGAATGCTGGAGACTGTACCAGTTCACCCATGCGCTTCTATCGTGTCCTCTCCAGGGCCAAGGAACCGCTCACAGAAAGGTACAGAGCAGGGACCCCATCAGCTGGCCAGCCGCCAGCAAGGATATGAGAAGTGCCGGCACGCTGGCGGCAGACGCGGGCGCAGCCCCTGGGCAAAGCAGTCCGGTGACACACATCCCCACCTAACGGTGTTCTTGCCTGCTGACCTAGGAATTCTTGAGACTGTCTAAAGAATTAACCCTAAATGTGGGGAAATCACACGTCTGCGGATGGTTGCCATGAGACCCTCTATAATAGCACAAGCCGAGGGCCCTGAATGCCACACGGTAGGGCGGCAGGTGGCTACACCACTGGTGGTTCGGCCACGTGATGGAACGCTGGCCACCGGAGGGGGCACGTGGCAAAGCTGGCGCCAAGGCAGAGACTCTGATGGCGTGCTGCTGAATGTTTGAAAAGCAGGAAACAGAATTTACATATACCCTATGGTCTTACCACAGCCTCCGTATAAGGAAAGACTGAAAAGGGGTAGATAGGTAGGCTCATCTGTAATTTTTTCCCCTAAACTTGTCATATTATTATTTGGACTTAAAGAAAAAGAAAGCGGAGGGGTGCCTGGCTAGCTCAGTCAGGGGAGCGTGCGACTCTTGATCTCACAATCTTGAATTCGAGCCCCACATTGGGTGCAGAGATGACTTAAAAATAAAATCTTAAAAAAAAAAACAAAAAACAAAGGAAAGAGAAGTAGAGGGAAGGGAAGGAGGGCCACATGAGGCACAGTCTCCGGCCTCACGGCCCAGCTTTCGTTTGCTGAGCAGGGCAGAACATCCCTGGTGGACACAGACGTGGAAGGTGGGCGTGTGGGCAAGGCCAGGGCAGCCCCAGTCTGGTACCGGGTGTTTCACGAGACAGCTGGTGGACGTCATGTAGTGACAGCCCCAAGAGGTTCATTTCTCATCCCATTTCCTCCTGGAAAAGAGGGATCCAAGAAATGCAAGCCCTGCCCCACTCCTAAAGAGAGGGCAGTGTCCCTGACAGGGAATATTCTGGCCGGTGGTGGATTATTTGCAGAGGGCACTAGACATGCTGAGAAACTGAGACTAATTCAGGGGAGGGGTCCCTGCAGGGCTGCTGGGGGCTAGCAACAATAGCTGGAGAAACTCTAAAGATGGGGTGCCCCTGAGGTGCCTGGCTCGTTTTTTCCTGGTTATACCATAGGGCATAGCCCTGCGCAACCTTTGTATGTAACTGCTCCTCATGGCCATGGAACATGTACCATGTTCCATGGAAGGTAGTAACTTCCCTTACCTGGCCCCGTAGGGGATGTTCAGTTGCCTGTCTGCTTTCTCGAACTGCAGATGATCGATAGCTATCTGGTGGACATCTTCTGGGGATGTACTCCCAGAAATGGGGCTCCTGGGGTCCCAAGGGGTGGATGGTTGGGGCCAAGAAGATGGGGGCCCCCGGCTTCCGCTTAGCCTTGTGTCCCTCTCTTTGAACCCAGGCAAAGAGGCTATGCTACGGCAGAAGGATTACGAGACCGCCACTCTCTCGGAGATCAAGGCCCTGCTCAAGAAGCATGAGGCCTTTGAGAGTGACCTCGCCGCCCACCAGGACCGCGTGGAGCAAATTGCCGCCATCGCACAGGAACTCAAGTATGCGAGGCCCAGTGAGGGCTGGGGCTGCTGGGGGAAGTGGGGCGTGGCCGTGAAAAGTGAGGAGGCTGGGTACAGCCGGTGCCCCAGTGGGAAGGGCGTCAATACAGAGGACTCTGAGTATCCCCCAGGTGGAGAAGGAGCCTGTGACCCTTCCCGTGGAGGGCCTCTGGTCCTTCCCTGTAAGTAGTGCAGGACCAGAGGATGACCATGTGTACTCTAAGCTCTCGCTGGGCCTCAGTGACTCCCTGCCATTGGACATTGGGGTCAAGACTGTATCGCCTCCAGCTCAGGTGCAGGGGGGGCCTTAGAACGGGCCTTCATTCATCTCCCAGTGGTCCTCAGAAAGCCACGGAGTTGCGGGGGGGAGGGCACATGGAAGGTCTTGGTAAAGGGAGCGCACCCCAGCCCCAGGGAGAAGAGAGCAGGCCGTGGAGGTAACCTGGGTCACCTGACTCTTCCTGTCTCTTCCCTTCCAGTGAGCTGGACTATTACGACTCACCCAGTGTCAACGCCCGGTGCCAAAAGATCTGTGACCAGTGGGACAATCTGGGAGCCCTAACCCAGAAGCGGAGGGAAGCTTTGGAGGTGAGGGCCCCTGAGGGAGATGGCAGCTCTGTGTGCCTCTTTGCTTTGGGCCAGAAGGTTCCACTGCGTTGCCTGGACCTGCCGTGTGGCCTGTTGAAGGTTCACCCTGGCGCTGGATTGGGCTTTGCCTTAATGGAGACGCCTCCTTTGTGGCCCTGACCATACCTCCCCCTCATCGTTCAGTGCACTTCACAGCCCAACCCCAGCCCTTGGAGAATTTTCCTATCTACAAACCAGACCGGGGGCCAGGCCGGGTGATTCCAATGTGGGATGGTCTGTAGACCCCACATTAAGAAGCAGTGTCCCAGAGAAAGTCTATTCTTTCGGTCTGACTTAGTCTGGTGCTTCCAGACTTGGACCCCTTGTGGCTGGCCAGGAGGACCTTGGGGGTTCAGGGGTGGGGGGAGCAGGGAGTGGTGATTCTGGATCTGACTCTGCTGCAACCCTTCTATCCACCCCCTCCCCTCAACTGCCATTCCTAGCGGACAGAGAAACTGCTGGAGACCATTGACCAGCTGTACCTGGAGTATGCCAAGCGGGCTGCACCCTTCAACAACTGGATGGAGGGGGCCATGGAGGATCTGCAGGACACCTTCATCGTGCACACCATCGAGGAGATCCAGGTGCGCTGCGGACCCCTCACCCCTGGAAGCTGCACCCCCACCAGACACCCGTGGAAACCTCACTCTGCAAACCTTACTCCTGCATGACTGCTCTTTAGGGAGAGGATGGGGGAATGGAGATAGCGAGCAAGGAGTTGATAGGTTTGGAAGAATTGCATTTTATTTATTTTGACTAGGTAATTTATGCAGGTCGTGTAAAACCGAAAAGGTAAAAAGAATATACGATAAATTCTCCCTCCTACCTTTGTCCCCCAGCCCCGCAGTCTCTGCACATGCAGGCAAATAGATTTATTTATTAACACGTTCTTCCCCATACCCCTTTTTAACACAAAAGGTAGCTTTTGTTGGGTACTGTATTCTGAACCCTTTATCTTTAAATATTTTGGAGCTCATTGCATTGTAATAAGCCACTTCCCCATTCTTTTATACAGCTGTGGTGTATTAGGTTTAAAAGATTTTGCAGAGGGAGAGCCTGGGTTGGGGGAGGTCACCTGGAGAGCAGACTTGTCCCCGACCTGACTGCGGGGCGGTGCGCACTCTAGGGTGGTCGCCCCTGACTTTACCAGCCACAGGCATGAAGCGGTTGCTTTAATGGCTCTGCCTTCACCTCCCCGTGGCCAGCCCTGCTCTCCTGGTTCTCAGCCATGAGCATCCTTGGTTGATGCTCCAGGTCTCCCCGCTGGTGTGGGGCCATGCCTTCAGTGGCCTTCCCACCCACCTCTACCCTGGGACCTGTAGGGCTCCCGTAGTTCATCTTGCCCACACGAGGCACCAGTCACTGTGTTTCTCTTGCATCCAGGGACTGACCACAGCCCATGAGCAGTTCAAGGCCACCCTCCCTGATGCCGACAAGGAACGCCTGGCCATCCTGGGTATCCACAACGAGGTGTCCAAGATTGTCCAGACCTACCACGTCAACATGGCGGGCACCAACCCCTACACAACCATCACTCCTCAGGAGATCAATAGCAAGTGGGACCACGTGAGTCCAAGGGCTGGTGGGACATTGTGGCCGAGCCATTGCAAGTTTTATGAGGGCAGGGATTTTACCTTTTTTGTTGTTGATTTTCATTGATTTTATTTATTTATTTATTTCATCATTACATGGCAAGCGTTCATCTGCCAAGTTAATGAATGGCTGAATTTCTGGAACAGGTCAACATGTTCACTCTTGTTCTATTTACTGACTGGCCCCTTCCCTTCATGGCTCCTCCATTCCCTGATCTGAAGAATGGGGCAGGTGGCTGGCTGGTCCATTCCCAAGGTTCTGTGATTGTTCCCACCCCAGGTGCGGCAGTTGGTGCCACGGAGGGACCAGGCCCTGACGGAGGAGCATGCCCGCCAGCAGCACAATGAGAGGCTACGCAAGCAGTTCGCAGCCCAGGCCAATGTCATCGGGCCCTGGATTCAGACCAAGATGGAGGTAAGTCCCATCATGGGAGGCAGGGATAGGGGTTTCCACCCCTTCCCAGCACCATCCCAGCCAGTCAGGCTTGCCCTGTCTCCTCCTTGGCGAGACTCGTGGAGGAATGCATTCCTAAATAGGTTCAAGATTGGTCTGCTGCCCTACAGAGGGTGTGGAGCCTGTCAGGGAAGGCCGGTGGGTTGGTCCCAATGTCTGGTTCGGGAGCGAAGACCTGCACATGGATGCCACTGAGGAGCCACCTGAGAAAGTCCCACGGAGGGATGAGTGCCTGGGGAACTGACTAGCTTACTTCAGCTTATTTGGCTAACCAGGCCTCCCTTCCTCTTGAGCAAAGAGCAGGATCTTTCCAGAGAGAGAACCGAGGCTCAGGCAGGCATAGAACTTTTTATTGAATCGTTGGGCCAGATATTGGGGTTCTGTAGATCAGGGAAGGGGGCACTGCTAGGGTTAGAGCATGGTGTCCCTCCAAGCTCCTTGAGGGCAAAGACCATCTCGAGGTCATGTTTGTGTCTCTCCTGTACCCCAGCCCTATCTGCTGGGTAGTGCACATGGTGCATAGTAGGTGCTCAGGAAATATTTGCTGGGTCGAATTGAGCGCACAGAAAGGGCTTTTACAAATGTTTGTTTACATGGATGAAGGACAGACAGGAAGGGAGATTAGGCCTGGCCCATGGGGCAGGTGGGATTGAGGCAGGCCAAGGCAGGCATAGCCACTGAGGAGGTAAGTCCGGTGCTCTGAGGCTGTGAAGAATCTGGCTCCCTGGGCACAGAGAGAGTCCCTGAGATGGGTGACAGTTGGGAACAGGCTTGGGCGGGGAGTTTGAATGGCAAGCAGAGGAATGAGCATTTAGGTTAGCAACTGACCTTGCAGCCCCTTTCTGAGGTTGAGAGCTACTTGAGAGACAGGAAGTATTTCATCTGATGATGACAGTGTTTCTCATACCCCTTTATGATGCTATTTCCATGCCAAAGTGCATCCCTGCTGAATGTGTCTTGCTCTCGGCTTACTAATTACCACTGACGGGTTCCCTGGTGCTGGAGTAGGAACCGAGGAATCATCTGAGGGGCTGACTGATGACCTAGGCACCCCAGTCCTTACCCTAGGGGCGCAGAGCGGGGTAGTCTGACCAGGGCTTCCTTCTGGGTGAGCAGGAGATTGGGCGGATCTCCATTGAGATGCACGGGACCCTGGAAGACCAGCTCAGCCACCTGCGGCAGTATGAGAAGAGCATCGTCAACTACAAGCCCAAGATCGACCAGCTGGAGGGCGACCACCAGCTCATCCAGGAGGCTCTCATCTTCGACAACAAGCACACTAACTACACCATGGAGGTGGGTGGCGCCGGCTTTGCTCCTCCAGGAAGGGAGCCCCGGATCCCATTCTGCTCCCTGCCCCCTGGGCTGGGGCAGGGGACAGTTATTCATCTTCCAAGGAAGCTAGCTGGTCATACTAGGAGGACAGACTCTTTGGAGTGAGGGGATACACACTGCTTCTCACGCCTAGAGCTCGGGGTCTTCAGTCCTCAGGGCCTTCTGAAGTTCCAGGGAGCTTGTTGAGTATGCAGACTTTCAGGCTCCATCTCCAGAATTTGATTCACGAGGTCTGGGGTGGGGTTGAGGAATCAAAATTTTTAACAAGCACCCTGGTGATTCAGATGCGGGTGGTCTCCAAACACTGGCTTAGGCACCTGCTTTCCAGGCAATGAATTGTTCGGGCCATGAAGGCACGTACGTGAGGTCACAGAGCAGGATATACGGGGAATTACCCAGGCTTTGTTCTTTAATCCTTCCCTCTACCAAACCTGCCCTCCTTTCTGACCTGACCCACGCTGTCAGTTCTGGTCTCTGCTGTCCCAGGCAGAGGTCACCGCCCTGCCTGAACTTCCCTGCTCATCATCTGGGTTCTCTGTCCTAGAGAGTGTGTTGTCCTTGTCCTGGTGATGCTGTAAATCTGGACAGAAGGCTGGATTTGATTGCTTGGGCCATTTTGACAGTTGGGGGAAGAGAGTAGCCACGAGCGGCCTGGGTCTGGGCGGGGGGGGGGGGGGGGTTGATGACAGGCCCCTCATGCACCCTTAGCACATCCGTGTGGGCTGGGAGCAGCTCCTCACCACCATCGCCAGGACCATCAATGAGGTGGAGAATCAGATCCTGACCCGAGATGCCAAAGGCATCAGCCAGGAGCAGATGAACGAGTTCCGAGCTTCCTTCAACCACTTTGACCGGGTGAGAGCCCCTGCACTTAGAGCAGCCCCCAACCCTTGCCCCAGGGCCCTGGAGGGCACTGCCCAGGGGATGGGTGGCCATGCCGGGCCAGTTCCTAGGCAGGAAGTGCTGTCAACCTGTCCTGGTGTCCTGTGGATTTCCCTGCTTTTCTGAAGCAAGAGTTGATGTAGTGGGTAGAGACAGGCTGTTTGGCCCATGACGCTTGCTCTTCTGCCATGAGGGGTCAGCCCTTGGGAGCAAGGCTACCATGGCCTTAAGGGCAGGCCTGATGTCCCCTGGCTGTGGGGACTATCACTTGCCTCTGCCTCAGGACAGAGGAGCAGAGGCTTCCTCCCCACCGCACCCCCCATCCCCACCCCACAGCCTTCAGGAGACGCTATGGGGGTGTCAGTGATGTTAGGTCATGGGTTCTCATCCTAGCTCAGGGACAGGCTGGGTTCTGTGTGGGCTGCCCCTCCCAGTGCCCTGGGGCTCCGGGGCGGCCAGAGGGGTGGAAGCATGGGGCCAGGTGCTGCCCACCACCTCTGCCTGCTTCACTGTCCTCCAGCCTCCTGGGTGAGGTGGGTGAGGCCCTCTTAGAAAGCCGGGTCTGGGCGTTGGGGCTGGGGTGGGCTGGGCACCCCCACGGCTCACCGTGCTCCCCTCTGGCCTGCTTCCCGGAGCAGGGCTGTGTGCGCCAGGGAGAGGGCACCCTCTGGACCTGGTCCATGTGTCTAACCGTGTGCACTTTTATTTCCCCTCCTCCCCTGCCCCTTCCACCCTCCACCCTCTCCGTCCGCATGCCTTTGTCCCTGTGTCTCCCCACACACACCACCCTCCACCCGGGGCATGGCCCACCCCCCTCCCCTCACGGCCTCCACCTCCCTGGCACCGCATGGCTCGCTGCCTGGCGCACGGCGGCCCCAGGATCACTCCGGCACGCTGGGTCCCGAGGAGTTCAAAGCCTGCCTCATCAGCTTGGGTTATGATATTGGCAACGACCCCCAGGTACTCGCCTCCTGCATGGAGCACGCTCAGGGGTGGCATCCGGGGCGAGAAATAACGCGTTTCTCCTTTTTCTTTTCTCTCTCTGTCTGGATCTCCCTGTCTTCCCTTTCCTGTGGGCCTCGGGGCTCGTCTTCTCCTGCTGTCCCTGCCTGGCCTGCGTCGGGCTCCTACCTCTGACCTCTGCCCTTGGTCGTCTTTCGTGGGAACCTGCTCGGGGCCCACCTTCCTCTCTCCTCGTTGCCCTCCATCCTGTGGACCAACTTTTGTACCTCCCTATTCTTTCTCCTCCCTGTGGATGTGTCTCTTCCTGTGTTCCTTTTCCCCTCCAAACCTCCCAACCGTATACCTTGACCTTCCCTCTGGCCATCTGTTCCCTGTCTTCCTGGCCCCGGGCCGGCTCTTCCTCCTCCTGCCTCTGACCCTCGCTACTGCCCCACAGAAGAAGACAGGCATGATGGACACGGATGATTTCCGCGCCTGCCTTATCTCCATGGGTTACAACATGGTAATGTAAACCCCACCCTCTGTTCTGGCGAGGGCCAGCCAGTTGGCCAGAGAAGCCAAGTCCTGGCCAGGGCAGGCTGGAGGCCCCAGGCTAGGGGCTGCTCTCCCCAGAGGGCCCTCAAGATTCTGGTCGGTGGGGAAGATGGCGCCCTGAAGTCTGGGCCCGGCCTCGTGGCCCGTGCGTGTCCCCGAGGCCTGGCCTTCTCCCCTCCGTCTCGGTGCTGGCGTTGTCTTTTGGTACTTACTGTGGAGATGGGCTTTTTCACTCCCATGGCAGATGGCGGGGCTGACCCCAAGGCCATCAGGAAGGACTGGTAGTTTGGCCTTTCTGGCCCCGAGTTGGCTCTACTTCGTCTTTTCGTGAAGCAAGAGATTTCTGTCTCTGCCCTGGTGGGGGCTCCAGCCACGCCTGCCGCCCCTTGACCTGCACAACTTTCTCAGTGGTCTGCTCCCACGCAGGCCTTCTGAGCAGAGCAGGGGCCTACCTGGGCGGCCGGGCAGCTCCTGAGCCATGGTGCAGAGCGCAGAGCTTGTGGGCTGCCCAGGGCAGAGCAAGGGCGCAGGCTGTCTATGTGGGGAGCCCAGGAGTAAATCCCAGCTCCAGCTTGGGGACCAGGGGAACCCTGCAGGCCTGTCGTAAGGGTTAAATGAAGGAACTTCCCTGAATGCTGGGCACACAAAGTCTGACACACAAAGTACGGGGTGGTGGGGAGAGAACAGGCTGTGGAGGCAGACCATCCAAGTTCAAGTCCCAACTCTACTACTTACTGGTTGTGTGACCTTGAGCAAGTCACCAAGCCCGTCCGGGCCTCGGGTTTCTCATGTGGAAGCCTGATGGAAATAATAAATGCCCGTGTCCTATGGTCGTGGTGAGGGTTAAGTGAGATGAAATGTGTGTGGTGGTTAGAGTAGCGCCTGGCATGCACTGGTTGTGATTACAGCTGTGACCGGCATTATCAGCATTTGCTCCCCCAGGAACCTGCAGGGGGCGGGAAGCCTGAACCGGGTCTCCACTCCTAGATGTTGTGTCCCTGTCATGCCCTCAGGACAGCCCAGGTTAGGTCAGAGGGCCGCTGCGCCCCGCCTCTGACAGCCTCAGGCTACTCTGAGCCCCCTGGGGCTTCAGGACCATAGGAGAGATTCCCAGCGGGCTGAGGCAGAGAGGCTGACAGGCCTGGGGTTGGCTCTTCTCTCCAGGGAGAGGCAGAATTTGCCCGCATCATGAGCATTGTGGACCCCAACCGCCTGGGGGTAGTGACGTTCCAGGCCTTCATCGACTTTATGTCTCGGGAGACGGCCGACACGGACACAGCAGACCAAGTCATGGCCTCCTTCAAGATCCTGGCTGGGGACAAGGTGGGTCTGCTATGGCGTGGGCACCGTGCAGGGGCCACTCTGATCTGGAGGGGAGGCCACTTGCACCCCATAGCCTCTTCCTCCCGCTGGGGCCTCCCAGTGCTGTCCACTTCTACCCATTTCTGTAATGCCTGGGCATCTGCTAAGGTGTTAGGACACATATTAGCTTAAAGGGGTCTCCTGCCAGGGCGTGGGACTCCTTCACACTTGGGATGGAGTGATGAGTGGCAGAGGTGGGTAGAGTGGGGGTCGGGGGGGGTATGTGACTGAGTGATGTAAGGGTGATGTCACCCTTACGTCACTCTGGGCATAGGTGTGGAAGGTTGGAGGGGAGCAGGAGGGAGGCATGTCTCGCATTTGTCTACCCCAAGCAGCAATCCGTTTTGGTTTCCAAATTTCCCAAGTTCCCTGCCTGGCAGTGGGAAAGTGGGAGCACCAAGGGAAACTAGCAAAGCAGGGATTCTAGAGGCCAGATTTCCTTTAATCCTTAATGCCATCCTTTCCTTTCAGACGGGAGAGATTCAGTTATAAAAAACGAAAGCCAATAGGGATTTATGCCTCAATCCATAAGGGAAAAAAGACTGAACCTATAGAGGTTCCTAAAGGTCTGATTTAAGTTCAGGGACACCTTATCAGAGTCATACCTAGAGCTGGAATGACCCTCAGAAACCACCTTGTTGAAGTGACTCTGGGGCCTGGTCTCCTGACTTCTGGAGGGATCTGATCAACCCCACCCTCCTTGAAACTGGTTCCTAGGGGACTCTGGCAAGAAGTAGGGCATGGGGCTAGGAGCCCACCTTGTGGGTCAGATCCTGTGAGTGAGCCCTTCTGGAGCCTGAAGCTCCCAAGAGAAGCAGCTTCCAAGGAGGCCTGTCATGGGCAAGCAGATAACCTGGACCGGGAGCCAGGCTGGGCGGGGGCGGGGGCAGGCCCAAGACCTGCCAACGTAGTGGAGGAGACAGCAGCCGGGTGTCAAACTTGGATGCTCACTGTATTTGCTGAAATGACACGACCTCCACAGAGCCCAGCTTGAGTGGGTGTGGGGTCCCCTGTCTTCCACCAGAGTACCTGCTGGTGTTGATCCTGCCCATGGTTCTTGCAGACTAGAGTGGTACATGAAATTACAGGTGCAGTTCCCACTTGGAATTAGCTTGGAAGCGGGCCAAAGTCGGTGTTGAAATGGCAAACAGGAGATTTTAAATGCCTGTGTATTTCGTGGTGTGTATGTATGCCTGTGTATGCATAATAAACACACGTGTATACTTGGTGTACACGTGGATATGTGTGCACACACATGCCTGCGTATCCAGAAGCGGGAGGGCGGGGCACTTCCTGCCGCCCTGAGTGAGGGTCCCGGCCGCCCCGCCCGCTCTCTCTGCAGAACTACATCACGGTGGACGAGCTGCGCCGAGAGCTGCCGCCGGATCAGGCGGAGTACTGCATCGCCCGGATGGCCCCCTACACCGGCCCCGACGCCGTGCCCGGTGCTCTGGACTACATGTCCTTCTCCACGGCGCTGTACGGCGAGAGCGACCTCTAACCCGCCGGCCCCGGCCAGCGCCCTCGCCCTGCCCGCTGTGCGCCCCCCGCCCTGCGCCCCCGCTGCTCCCCTCCCCCCCCCCACCCCGCCACCCCAGCCCGGGTTTGGTCTCCTCGCGCAGCCTCGAGCCCTCGAACCGGGCGAGCCGGGACCCACGTGGCGTCGAGCCGCCCTGCCCGCAAAGTGACAGTTTACAAAATTATTTTCTGCAAAAAAAAAGAAAAAAAAAGTTACATTAAAAAAAGTAAAAACAAAAAACAAAAAAAAAAACACCAAAAAACCACATATTTTATTATAGAAAAAGTATTTTTTTCTCCACCAGACTTCAATGGAAAAGAGGAAAAATTAACTGTTTGCACCGAAATGTTTTGTTTTGTTGTGACATAGGAAAATAACCAAGCACAATGTTATATTCCATACTTTTTATCGATTTTTTTTTTCCTCTCTGTATCATCTGCTGTATTCATTTCGCCAATCTCATGTCCACCTTGATGTGGGAGTGGGGGTGGGGGTGGGGGTGGGGGGATCTTGTCAAAAGGCACATTGGTGCATGTGTGTTTGCTAGCTCACTTGTCCATGAAAATATTTTATGATATTAAAGAAAATCTTTTGAAATGGCTGTTTTCTAAGGAAGAGAATTTATGTGGCTTGTCTTCTCGTTTTTAAGTCCAGAAGTGTGGTTAGGTTCTTTATCAGCACACACTATTTTCCCTTTAATTTTAATATTGCCTATTAAAAATGGTCAGAACAAGATCGGAGAGTGTGGACAACTTTGGTATTACTTGTCACACACCATATTAAAGCGACAGCGTTCCCATGACCGCTTTTTGCTTGCTCCTTGCTTACTGTTTTCCAGAAGTGTGTGTGTGGGGTCAAGGATGATGGGGGCCACCTGTACCCAACCTTAATATGTTTATGACCTTGGCATAGTCAATCCAAGAGTTGGACACTTTACTGAAAGAGCCACCCAGGCGACCCCCTTTATTTTAAAAGGTGGTTTCCTCGGAAGGCTCCTGTGAGTTGAGAATAAGGTCACAGATGTGACCCCTTAAAGGAAGGGGCCATTTAATGATAAGTCCTACCTTTGTTTTCTGTGGCATGAAACAGCTCTGTGACATCTCTATGCCTCCCTTCCTTGTATCTTTGCTACAAGGGAACGCACTGAGGTCTCAAAAACCCCTCCCACCCCTTGCTATTCAAAATGTTCCACAGACAACAGCTGTCCAGCATCACCTGGGAGCTTGCTGGAAATACACAGTCCCAGGCCCCACCCCAGACTTTCAGACTCAGAATCTGCATTTTTTTTTTAATGTTTATTTATTTATTTTTTGAAAGAGAGTACAAACAGGGGAGGGGCAGAGAGAGAGGGAGACACAGAATCCGAAGCAGGCTCCCGGCTCTGAGCTGTCAGCACAGATCCCAGTGTGGGGCTCGAACCCACGAACTGTGAGATCATGACCTGAGCCAAAGTTGGACACTTAACTGACTGAGCCATGCAGGCACCCCATAATCTGCATTTTAACAAGATCCCCAGGGGATCTGTGTGCACTGCTCTGGCTTCTGTAGTTTTTTCTCCTTACCTGTCTCTCCTCCCTGAGGCTTTTACTTCAAGTACAGGGAGTAAAGACAATTAATGATCATACCAGTAATAGTGCAGTAGACTGCCATTTCCCAAATGGGTAAACTGCACTACAGTTCCCTTATCTGTTAAGTGGGAATAATAGTGCTTTTGGAAAGCCATCGCGGTAACACAGAGCTCCAAGAATATTAGAACATTTTGGAATACTCACTTCCCAGGGAAGGAGGCAAGAAGGCCATTCAGAAGGAAGGACCTGGGGTAGAGGTTGGCATTTGCTTTGGGAAACATTCCTGTCAGTGTTACCACTGGCTGGTAAAAAGTCCAGAAAATGCTCAGCTGTCGGTCTGCTGTGGGTATAGCTGCACGGGGAGAGCCGTGGAACAAGGCCAGAGGCTGGTCTCGGAAGGTCAGAGTCCTTTGAGAGAGGCCAATACATAAGATGGCTTCTTTCAGTTATTTATACGCAAGTCTAACCAAGGGTACAGTGGGACAGGAGTTGAAGAGAAGGAGAAATTGTTCCAACCAGAAAGTTTCCTAAACCTGGGGTGCAAGCACTTTACCATACCACAGTTTCCAGAGGTACAATCAATCAACCTTTTCACTGCTTGCTTTAAAAAAGAAATTGTGTAAGAGTCCTTTCAATGCAAGTATGCTTACTGAGTTATTCCACATCCTTTAGAGAAATTCCCTTATTTGATTTTTTCAATATTCAAGCGTGCTTGTATGTGGGCAAATGACTATAGTTACTTTAAATGTTCAATCTCTTAAAGAGATAAAAATTTTAAAACCTGTTTCTTAAGCTTTTTAGGTCACCACACTTGTCTTAATATATTGACAATATGATTTTTTCTGTAAAAGTAAAATCACTCTTGCTTGTCCTAATCATTCATACATCTTAAGTTAACCACCCACAAACAACCCCGTTTAAATTTCCCAAAATAATTAAGTTCCTTTAAATATTTTAAACATATTTACGAATTTTCATTCTTTCCAGTACATCAGACTCCCACCAAGGCAAATTCAAATTGAGGCAGCAAAGTCTTAGCACAAAGCAGTTGAAGTATTATAAATGTAAATCAAGTTCTCTGGAGCAGTGCAAAGCTGTTTACTAACAATTCTCTCACACCTCCAAAATTAAAATCATGCATCTAATTTCAATTACACATTCCAGATGAAAATCCCAAAGCAGATAGGTGCTGGGCTCTCTTATGTGTTGAAACTCCTTAGATTAAGCCACAGGTTGTCACGAGTATAAAACTGTGTAACCCCCCTCCCCCCCCCTCCAGAATCTTAATACTGAGAGTCTGACTTACTTCATCCATTTACTTATTTCTACATAGGTGATTTTAAGTTCCCCTGTGGCTCATTGCTGGGTTTTCGGGTCACAGGTTCAGAATTGTGACATCTGTCATGTGGCGATTCCAAACCAGGACACAAGATGAAGTGCTCACCCACTTCTAGATTTCACCCAAGGCACCGGTGAACTCATGGCCTTGACTCCAATAGTCAAGTGCTGTTTGCTGTGTCCTGAGCCCATGCCCCTCACCTGCTGGTCATCTCTTATGTTTCACCCTTTGCCAATTTTCGTTGTAAACAATTCCAGCTTACTTGCAATGATAGGGTAGGTGGAATTTTCTGTCCTGATGCAGGTGGCAGTTGGTTGTTCCTGCATCCTTGGGATGAGCTCATTGACTCTCTTGCCTATGTAGAGCATGCGTTTCTCTTGTATTTTTATCTGCCTCTGTCCATACATTTGGAGGGACTTTGGTGACAGCCTGATGAAGGCCAGTCTACGAAAACAGCTCCTCTCTCTCTGGCCTGTCAAGCGTTTGGTTGAGATCCTGTGACCATTCCAAGTCCCAGGCCTGTCTCAGGAATCTGCTGTGTCCTCCATCACTGGACCAACTCAAAACTGTCCCCTGGACACAGGACTAATGCTCAAAGGGTACAGTCAGTGTGGTGAGTGAGTTACCACAACTGAGAACAGTTAAGATTTCCTTAGGTTGGAAGGGGATCAGAGGCTCTGCCAGTACCTTGGCCTGTGCCAGGTAGGGTTGCTCAGTATGGAGGGTGTCCAAGGGTGGCGTGTGTGGTGAGGGGTGCCTCTGAGTCGTCCCACCTAAACCCAGCCTTAGACTAGGGTCTGCCTTCCTGTCACTGAGGGAACGAATACAACCTCTTTTGACATCAGTGCCTTTCAAAGGAGACACGTGGGCTCAGGTGTGCCCTTCTACTCCCCAGCTAGGTAAATAACCTCCCCAAATGGCATCAATAATGCCACTTACCTTTTGTGCCTGGCACACGATAGGCATTTAATAGGTGACAATAAGTATTAATATAGTTTTTAAAAAAAATTAGCTGTGCTTTGTTATGCTATTTTAAAAATTCTTGAGGCAAAAGGCCTGGTTCTAGAAAAATACCATTAAGGGGAGTCCTCTTCCGGTCTTTGAGCTCTGTGGTGGGCTTAATAATAGTCCCCAGGAGACGTCCCCGTCCTAATCCCTGGAACGTGTGATTACGCCACTGCACATGGCAGATGGCACTTTGCAGATGTATTGAAGGATCTTGAGATGGGGAGAATATTCTGGACTATCTGGGTGGGCCTTCATCAAGAGGTAGGGACGGTGGAGGTAGAGATTGGAGTGCTGTAGAGCCATAAACTGAGGGATGTGGATGGCTAGTAGAAGCTGGAACAGACAAGGAAATGGATTCTCCCCTAGAACCTCCAGAAGAAACGCAGCCCTGCTACTGACTTTGTATTTCTGATCTCCAGAACTATATACATAGGCTTACCTTGTTTTATGGCACCTCACAGATACCGTGTTTTGTACAGGTTGAAATTTTTTGGCAGCCGGGAGTCGAGCAAGTCTCTCGGCGCCATTTTTCCAACAGCATTTGCCAACTTCGTGTCTCTGTGTCAATAAAGTATTTTAAAATTAAGGCACACGCATCTTTTTTTTTTTTTTTTGACATAATGCTGTCGCACGCTTAATAGGCTGCAGTATAGTGTAAACATACATTTATATGCAGTGGAGAACCAAAAAATTCACTTGATTTGCTTTATTGTGATATTTGCTTAATTGTGGTGGTCTGGAACCAAACCTGCAATATCTCTGAGGTAGATGCCTGTATAAGATAATAAACTCGTGTTGTTTGAAGCCACTATGTTTGTGGTAATTTGTTACAGCAGTAGTAGGAAACTCACACCTGCTCCATTGTTCAGGCCTCACGGGAGCCTGGTTGCCTCCCTGACGCCAGGGGCCCATGTTATAGGCTTGAGGCGCTGGAGAAACCACTCCTGCTTCAAAAGCTTGAGTTTGCAATGTTGGCCCCTGGGAGGCTGCCACAGCTGTTGGACCAGAGCCCCTCACCCTAAAAACACTAGTCCACAGAGGAGGGAGATAGAAGCTACAAAACCCTGAAACCCCAAAAGAGCCAGAATGGCCGGGCCTACAGGAGGTGGGTGGACTGGTTAGCGGCCCTGGGCTGAGGGGGTGAGGGCTGCAGGCAGGACACAGTCTAGGACACTGAGTTGTCTGGGAAAATTAGGAGCTGAAGTTTCATCTCAGTTTCGTTCTCTGAGGATCGGAATTAACGGAGATGTCCCCTTGTCCGTCCAGATTTTCCCAGGGAGCCCTCCCAGGCTCTACTCACTGCAAAATTCTTTTTAGTTCTAAATTTAGAGCCAGTG